TTGTTTTCCTCTATTTCTTTGCATTGATCGCTGAGGAAGGCTTTCTTATCTCTCCTTGCTCTTCTTTGGAACTCTGCATTCAAATGGGAATATCTTTCCTTTTCTTCTTTGCTTTTCACTTTTCTTCTTTTCACAGCTATTTGTAAGGCCTCCTCAGACAACCATTTTGCCTTTTTGCATTTCTTTTCCATGGTGATGGTCTTGATCCCTGTCTCCTGTACAATGTCATGAACCTCCGTCCATAGTTCATCAGGCACTCTATCAGATGTAGTCCCTTAAATCTATTTCTCACTTCCACTGTATAGTCATAAGGGATTTGATTTGAAAGTGCTTACAAGTGGGTAAAAAACAGAAACCAAAATTATATTTATGTAACACTGACATCTTATATAAGGATTATACATGTGGATTATGACTGGATTAGATACTAAAGAGTCAAAATAGTTTCTTCATCAGGTGGTGTGATTATGGGTAATCTCTTTGTCTTTGAATAATAATTTATGCTCTTTTAAATGTAAAAAATAGTAAAAAAGATATGTTGAGATATAATTTTGAAGAAAAAATTAAGTACATATAAATGTAACAAATATTATATATTCATCTGATTTTAAAAAAATATATAAACCTGTTGATGGAAGTAGTTAATACAATTGCAAATGAACACTAAAAAAAGAGTAAGCTTTGAAATTTCATGATTCAATTCTGGATTTCTAAATTAAATGGAAATAAAAGTGATATTGTTTAGAATATTATTCAATGTCAAAATTGTAAATTATTTCCAAGTCCCCTATAAATGTGTTATCATACTTTCATAATTTAAAAAATAAGAAGAAGAAAAAAGTATGAATTAAACTACTAACAACTGTACATGGTAAAAGGGCTATTTGAAGTTAAGTGCTATTTTTACACTGTTTTTGGTAGGTTAACTTCCTGAAATATTGTTTTTGAGATTAATTTACAAGCCTTTCTTATTCAAGTAATCTTCTTTTCCATTTCAGTTGAAGACCCATGCACAAAACATTGGCTCTGATTCTATAACTGTACCTTTAGTATTCTTTTTACATTCTTTTTACAAAGTGAATTACATTACTGTTTATTTGTTCATTTCTTCACAGAAACAAGTTGTTCCCTGAGTCTGTCATCAGAAATATTATGTATCAGATATTGCAGGGGCTGGCATTTATCCATAAACATGGTAGGTTTTATATCCCTACATCTTTAGATTATTGTCAGTTATGGATAGGAATTATATGTAAGCTATTATTAAATAATATTATGTTAGATAACTACAACTTTGGAATATGTGCCTACTAAATGACATATTTAAAAACTTCAGAATTTCTACAATTCTAAATAAAATAGAATTTCTATAATCTATAATTATCTTCCTCTATATCAGAATTTTTTAACAGTTTGATCACCAGCATTTAGTCTGTCATCATAAACCCACCCTGCTACCTTATTCCACCTAATTTTACCATGGAAATGAAAAAAATATAAGTCTCCTCTTTTGGAAAAGGTTGAAATGCTTTGATCTATCATGACCAATTACTAACATTTAACTAGTTTAAAGCCACCCAAGCTATAGTATTTTCTAGTTTTCCTTAGTATTCACACATAGTTATTTCTATACTTGAAGAAATTAAATGCTTGCTCTTATATTTATGAATTTCTTATTTATGTTAATCTTGTAACTGATATTGTTTTTTGCATCTCTCTCAAACCAAAGTAACTTAACCTGAAAAGTTAATATGATTATTATGAAAAATGTTAATGAATGTTTAGAATCACTAGTTGTTTAGATATTAAATGAGAAAAGTTTATGCTACTCTTGCTGCATTTTGAGCATAGGCATTCAAAAATCACCATCATTAGTCTCCTTTCATGTTTCATATGATATTTTCTTTTCTCTTTTAACTGCTACAGGAAATAGAATTTTCTAAAAATTATGCCACGCAGAAATACATAGAATTTTCTAAAAGTGCCATGCAGAATCCCATATAAACCTTGTAAGAACATTCTTGAATCCCCAGTCTCATATAAGCTGTTAAGGTCTTTCAAAATCTAAAACCCATGATAATTTACTACAATTGATTGGTAAAAGTCAGTCATTTGTTAATTAAAATTAAGGATATATGCTATTTTAATTGTTCTTAATGGATTCCTTATCTTCAACCCATTTTAAAACTCTGATCAGCATGGTAACTCTTGATTTTTGCATATGTTAATTTATGCTAATGAAGAAAGTGTTGTGTGAAAAGTCAAAAGCCTCATGAATTCTTTTAATTTTTTTTAAAGAGCTTTGTGTTTTACTGCTATTTTTTTAGGCTAGTAATAAAATTGGTTTAGATTTCTTGGATATATAGCAAGTACCAGCAACTTCAGAGCATAAGGGATTGAAAGAGGAAACTAGTTTGGGATTTAAAAATCATTGCCAGAAGTAAAGGGTAATCTAGAGATCGCTTTTTAAGTGTCTCCATAGTGATTTGGGAAACCAGACTCAAGAACAATAGACATTTTTACAAAAGCTAATTTATTCTTGTCGTATTTAAACATCTCAGATGTAATCCTTTGAGAAAACAGACACTTTAAAAATAGTAGCTGTCAAAAAATTGAACTAATACTTTGGTTAAAATAGGACCAAGTTAACAATATAGTTATACTATATAAGGTGGAGAAAACCTCAACTCTGGTTTAATTCTGTAAGATTTTATAGATTAATGTCACGCGCTCCCTCTCCTGTCTTCATTGTGAAATTACGACGTGTTTCTCTTGGATGTGAATGAAATGGATCTCAATAGCTAGCTGGAGTAAGGAGTACCGATGTCACACACAGCCCACAACTGCCCTGAAGGGATTAGAATGGTTCAGGCTTAGAGAAGTCTTCCGAGCTCAAACCCTCTTGGAATGATGACGATCACCTACAACCGATGAACTGGCCGTTCTTCATTCTCCACCCGAAAGGGTCATTAGGATACAGGCCATCTGTGGACAGCCCGTGTGCTCCACATGCTGCCTAGGCGTCTGCAAGGAGGGCTTTCTGCCTCATTTTCACGGGGCTGCCATGTAGCTTCAGGAACCATCTGTTTTACACATTAGTTAGGTCAGTAAGGGACTTCCCTGTGACTCAGCTGGTAAAGACTCTGCCCGCAATGCGGGAGACCTGGGTTCAATCCCTGGGTTGGGAAGATGCCCTGGAGAAGGGAACAGCTCACCCACTCCAGTATTATGGCCTGGAGAATTCTGGCCTGGGTCTCAATAAGTCAGACACAACTGAGCAACTTTCACTTGGTAAATAAGCATTATAATGTTTGGGATTGTCAACAAGGCAGCTACTGGAGAGAACTGAGCTGGTAAATGATTTTAAAGCAAGGAGTTGGTTCAAATGTGTGGTGTTCCTGTTGTGCTTAATGCACTTCTCAAATAAGTGATTATACTCAAGGAATCGCGGTTAAACTGTCAGCAGCAGGAAGACCAGCTGCACGGGTGTGAGCTGATGTGCAGCCCTCCTTGAGCGTCACGCGACCACCTCTCTCTAGGCTTAACCTCCTCGTGTGTTACACACTCGTGATCACAGGGCCTCCTTAGGGCCGCCGTGCAGATTCACAGAGATGATCATCACATGGCAGTACTAACCCAGTGCCTGAACGCACCAGATCCACAAACAGAGATACACATGGAGGGACTTCCCCGGTGGTCCAGTGGCTAAGACTCTGCTCCCAATTCAGGGGGCCTGAGTTCCATCCCTGGTCAGGGAACTAGATCCCACATGCCGCAACTATAAAGAGTCCATATGCCGCAGTGAAGATCAAAGATCCTGTGTGCCACAGCTAAGATGCAGTGAGGCCAAATAAATAGATAAACATTAAAAAAAAGAAAGAAAGAAAGAAAACGAAATACATGTGCACATTTATTTTTACCCATCATATATACTGTATGAATTTCCTTGCCAAATTATTCTGAAAGCACGGTCCCCACCTCCCATCATTTTATAGACAATAAATAAGGTTTATTTTTCCCCCTAAGTTTACACTCCTAATTAGAACAGAGAGATTCAGCTACATCTTGTTAATAAATCAAATATGTCTAGATACGATAATTTATTGTTTTTCCTCTCTGTATTACCAAGGTTTTTTCCATAGGGACATGAAACCAGAAAACTTGCTTTGTATGGGTCCAGAACTTGTGAAAATTGCCGACTTTGGACTCGCGCGAGAACTGAGGTCGCAGCCGCCGTATACGGACTATGTGTCCACCAGATGGTGAGTAGCTTATGCAGCTGTCCGGGGACGTGCGTCCCGGGTGAGGTTTTCCTACAGTAGATTGTTCTGTGTCTTTCTGGAGGTTCCAATTCTAGTACTTAAAATACAGAACTGAATTTTTTTTTACATTCCTTGGAGAGAGGGGAAGATTGGCTCATGACTCTTTTATTATTAAAAAGAGAAGGAAAAAGGATTTCACACACCCATTCACTCATTCCACAAATATTTGTTGAACACCTGCTGCTGGACGGATACTACTTTAGGCACTGGGAACACAGAAGGAGGGCTTCTCAGGTGGCTCAGTGGTAAAGGATCCGCCTGCCCTTGCGGGAGACGCAGGTTCAATCCCAGGGTCGGGAAGATCCCCTGGAGAAGGAAATGGCAACCCGCTCCAGTGTTCTTGCCTGGAGAATCCCATGGACAGAGGAGCCTAGTGGGCTACAGTCCATGGGGTTGCAAAGAGTCAGACACGACCTAGTGACTAAACAACAACATCAACAAAGAAGAGAACTAAACAGACAAGAATCTCTGCCTCATGCTACTTATATGACAGCCAACACACAAACAAATTAAACGTATCGTGAGTTACCAACAGAGAGACATGCACAGGTCCGTCAGAAGACATCAGAGGCCCATCCGTCTGGGTAGTCTGAGATGTGACGCCTGGACTGCCTTACAGCGACGAGAATGAGAGGCCTACAAGCCACATAAGCAGTGTGATGAATCTCACGGATCCAGTGCTGAGAGCAAGAGCTAAACGGAAAAAGAGCACGTTATGGGATTCCATGTAGTGTACAAAAATAGATCTAATCTACGCTGTTAAAAGTCAGGATAGCGGCCACGCGGTGGGGTGAGCAGGGGCGGAAGTGACTGGCCGAGTGCAGGAGAGGGACCGTCTGGGGTGCTGATAGCATGCAGTCCCTCGATCTGGGTGCTGGGTCTGTTCTAACTGTGAAAATTCAGCAAGCTGTATTCCTGGGACACGTGCTTTTTTCTGTATGTATCAGTTCAGTTCAGTCGCTCAGTTGTGTCCCACTCTCTGTGACCCCCTGGTCTGCAGCACGCCAGGCCTCCCTGTATATCACCAACTCCCGGGGCTTGCTCAAACTCATGTCTATTGCGTTGGTGATGCCATCCAACCATCTCATCCTCTGTCATCCCCTTCTCCCGCCTTCCATCTTCCCAGCATCAGGGTCTTTTCCTATGAGTCGGTTCTTCGCATCAGGTGGCCAAAGTATTTATATTATACTCCAATGAAAGCAGTTAAGAATATTTGAGTATCAGATAATGATATGTTATTACAGAGAAAAATTAAGTTTGGAAGGGGACATGGGGTTGGAGGAGGCCCCGGAGGGGAAGGGCATGTTGCTGTTATTTTTTCCTTCTGTTTTGGGTTTTTTGGCCTCTTAGTTCCCTGATTGAACCTGCGTTGGAAGGCCTTGTCCTGCATTGTCTTGCATCCCCTGCATTGGAAGGCAAAGTCTTAGCCACTGGGCCACCAGGGAAGTCCCCGTGCTGCTGTTAAACAGAAGGTCTCAGTGATGCTGGAGTGTGGGGTTGGGGAGATGCCGGATGTTGAGAGCTTTTCAGACCGAGAAAATGCTGAGTGTAAATGCTGAGACCAGGCCTGGAGGCAGGATTGCTCTGCACAGAGCAGAATGAACACTCATGGCAAGAGCAGGAAACGAGGTTAGAGTGTTTGTGGGGTGGCCAGATCTCAGAGGTCCCTGTGGATCACAGTAAGGGTGGGGGTGGCCTGCTGATCTGCGAGAACTGGGGAGACCCTTGGGGGGCTCTGAGCTGCCGGATTGGAAACAGAATCTAGAGGAGCACAGGCAGAACCGGAAGACCAGGGAGGAGGCTGTTACACTTTTGGGGCAGAAGGTGGCAGGAAATGACTTGGATCTCGTGGCCGTGAAGGTGGGGAGAGGGACAGGACGCGGAGTGTGTTTCTAAGGCAGAGCAGACGTGGGGGATCAGACGGGGGAGTGAGGAAAGGAGTCAGGCACTTCAGGGGCCTTTCTGTGAGCAGCTGGGAGGCTGGAGTGGGCCCTGATGGGGATGGCGCCGCTGCGGAGCTCCAGGTTGGGGGAGGCTGTTTTCAGGTGAGGGGTGCCCCTGAGATGTCATTGTAGGCAGCAAGCCTACGGCCTGGGTTCAGGGGGCAGGGCTGGGCTGGACACGTCAGCTTGGGAGATGTCAGTGTTAAAAATTACAGCGTTGGACGAGGCCACTAAGGGAGCAAGTGTGGGGAAAGAGTGAATCAGTCTGAGGACGGAGCCGGGAAAGGGTGCGGTGTGTCCGGACTTGCTCAGGACAGTCTTGGCCGGGGCCTGCTTTCAATAGTGTCATTAAAGCAAGCTGCGTCACCTCTGATCCCCCGGCACCATATGCTTCTTGCTTCTCCCCCGGTCTTAGCTGGTAACATGAGAGACAATGAACCAAGTTCACACTTTAACACATAGCTAATTAATAATGCCAGTTTGCTTTTTTATTTAAAAATTTTTTTTAACAATTAAAAATTTTTTTTAACAATTTTTACAAAATGAGTGTCTTCAAACTGGCTTCGAAGAGAAAAATTAGTTACCTGATTTCTAATAATGGTTTGATTTTTTTCATCACAATCCATGGAATCAGTGTGAAACTTTAGGAAGGTCATTCTTTGAAAAGTGAAATGGCTGACATGACTGGGATTGCTACTTAATTTTAGTTAAAAAACTTTTGCATTGAAAATAGCCTTCTTTTTGCAGTGATAAACCAAATACAAATTTTAAAGATGCTGAACATCATTAAAACAGTATTCTTACTAAACTAAGAAACCTAGAAAGCTGAAGGGTATTTGGTGAGGATGCACATCTGTTTTGTAACTGCTTCCAAATAAGCTGCTAAATTGCATTCTAACAAAATAACAAGTTGCAGTTGTCAGAATACACACGTTACACATACCCACAGACAGAGCCTAACCAACCACACATTTTCTGATAACACTGAGGTTGACTTCAAAGACTGCTGCAGCATGGCTGTATGTTTTTCTCTCTTTGCTGCCATTTGGATTTTAGAATTGTTTGAACCTTTGAAAAACTGCTTTGTAAGTAAATTTTAATGATTTACAGTGGTGCCTAGCTTTTTTGTAATAATCCCTTTATATTTTGGTTGCATTTTGTCTCAATTTCCTTGGAAATCCTCCTTCAGAATTTTTGATAAACAGAGCATCAAAAACTCACACTTCTGAAGTTTATAGCAAACTGGAATTATTGAAAATGAGGCTTGCAAACAGAAAGATAATGATATTTATCCCTACAAAAGCAAAAGAGGAACTGAACAGATAAAGTGCTAAGAGCTCAAAGTATACTATTTTTTTATCTGTTTAAATGTATAGTTAGAATTGGAAAATCTCCTCTTGCGGGGAAGAATCTTTTTAGGGAGCTTCTATTTTCAACTGGGTAAATTTAGATCCTGTACTGAAATGGAGTGAAATTGAGGCTATTTGTTTTCAGCATCTAAACCTGGCAAAACATTTGAAATAATTTTGTCTCATAAAACTATCAAAACATAGTAACAGGTGTTGGCAAGGATGTGGAAGAATTGGAACCCTCATAGGTTGTTGGTAGGAGTGTAAAATGGTACAGAACAGTCTGGCAGTTCCTCAGTGGATAAACATATAGTTACCATGTGATCCAGCAAATTCCACACCTAGGTGTATACCCAAGAGAAATGAAAACATATGTCCACACAAGAACTTGTGGCTGTTCATAACAACATTATTTGTAATAGCCCAAAAGTAGAAACAACCAATGAACAGATAAACAAAATGTGGTATAGCCATACAGTGGAATATTGTTGTTCCGTCACTCATGTCCAGCCCTGCGACCCCATGGACTGCAGCACACCAGGCTTCCCTGTCCATCACCATCTCCTGGAGCTTGCTCAAACTCATTCCCTCAAGTCGAAGATGCCATCCAGCCATCTCATCCTCTGTCATCCCCTTCTCCTCCTGCCTTCAGTCTTTCCCAGCATCAGGGTCTTTTCCAATGAATCGGCTCTTCACATCAGGTGACCAAAGTATTGGAGCTTCAGCTTCAACATCAGTCCTTCCAATGAATATTCAGGGTTGATTTCCTTTAGGATGGACTGGTTTGATCTTGCAGTCCAAGGGACTCTCAAGAGTCTTCGCCAGCACCACAGTTTGAAAGCATCAATTCTTTGGCACTCAGTCTTCTTTATGCTTCAAATCTGACATCCACACATGACTACTGGAAAAATCATAGCTTTGACTATACAGATGTTTGTTGGCAAAGTAATGTCTCTGCTTTTTAGTACACTGTCTAGGTTTGTCATAGCTTTTCTTCCAAGGAGCAAGCGTCTTTTAATTTTGGGGCTGCAGTCACTGTCCACAGTGATTTTGGAGCCCAAGAAAATAAAATTTGTCAGTGCTTCTACTTTTTCCCTTTCTATTTGCTGTGAAGTGATGGGACTGGATGCCATGATCTTAGTTTTTTGAATGTTGGGTTTTAAGTCAGCTTTTTCACTCTCCTCTTTCATTTCCATCAAGAGACTCTTCAGCTCCTCTTCACTTTCTGCCATTAGTGTGGTATCATCTGCATATCTAGGGTTCTTGATATTTCTCCCAGCAATCTTGATTCCAGCCTGTGGAATATTATTCAACAATAAAAAGAAAGAAGTTCTGATACATGCTACAATGTGGATAAACCTTGAAAACATGTTCAGTGAAAGAAGCTGGTCACAAAAGACCAGACAGTGTATGGTCCCATTGATATGAAGTGATGGAACAGGCAAATCAATAGATTGGTGGTAGACTAGAGATGCTGGACCCAGGGCTGTTTGAGCGATGTGGGGTTTCTTTGGGGGATAATGAAAGTGTTCTGAAGTTGATTGTGATGATGGATACACAACTCTGTGAATATACTATATTATCAATTAAGGGAATTGAGTCAGTTGAGGAACTGCCGTTTCAAACTGATAAGCAAAAAAAAAAAAAGGATAAATAAGCACAGGATATATTCAATATCCCGTGATAAACCATAATGACTATGAAAAAGAATGTATACACGTGTAACTAAATCACTTTGCTATAAAGCAGACATTAACACAATATTGTAAATCACTATACTTGAATAAAATAAACTTTAAAAAAAAGGGAAAAAAGCTCGCTACTTAGGGATAATCTTTGTTAATCTTTTGTTTTCTGTCCTTCATATGAATGTATCAGGATGTAATGCATTGTAAAATTACACAGCTGTTCCCATTCAGGATATATCTGCTTCCATTCAGAGCTTCCCCCCTTTCCTTAGTATATTATATAGCATTTTCACATCTGTTTGTAGGAGTCCCTATCTTAGGTCACATGGACATTTCATGATATTTGTCTCGAGCTCCGCTATGAGTTTGTGGTCAGGAAACATCTGCTCCATCCCAACACAGAAAGGCACTTAACACCTGGTCCTCGACTGAAATGCACGACCAAACAAAATGAGAGCCTTCTGCCCCTCCATCTCAGAGACGACACCCAAAATGGCCTGTTCGATTTTGTCTTCTCTTTGCATAGGTATCGCGCTCCTGAGGTCTTGTTAAGATCTTCAGCCTACAGCTCTCCCATCGACGTGTGGGCTGTCGGCAGTATAATGGCTGAACTCTATACACTAAGACCACTTTTCCCGGGGACAAGTGAGGTCGATGAAATCTTTAAGATTTGCCAGGTCTTAGGGACTCCCAAAAAAGTAAGTACACTTGTCCCTAAGTTGTTGTAACTTTTCATTATTTATAACTTTCATCTAGCTAGCTGGTATTTGCATTTTTCAAATAGGCTTATGCTTTAACGGTTACTTTTCTTATAATTTTTTTTTTTTAATTGGGATGGAATGAGGACTGCAAGAAGCTTGAATTCTGTCAGGTTGTAGAAAAAAGGTGCTTGCCTCCCTTGAAGAACATAAGGGAAGATTTTCTATATTTAGAGTTCTATATATTTAACTTTGAGCAGATGACCAGCTGATGGCTATGGAGACATCCTTGCTCAGAATCTTTCCTCCTTGTTCTGTGACTGTCCATTGGAATCAACTTATTAATGCCAAGTGTCCTAGATTTTATATTCTCTTAACCTTTCTTTGTTTACTTTTATATACTTCTGCCACAGACATTTAATTTCTTGAAATGAGGACTTTTCAGTTAACTACTGCACTCAGCTAGACTTCACTTTCTGAGTTATACTTATTTAATAAGTTTAAATATGTATAATTAGGCCTTACTTGAGCCTGTGCCTCATAGTTAACATTAGACAAGTTAATGCAGCTGTTAAAACTTTAACAAAACTGTCATTTCCCAGCTCTGTGCAGTTTTTGACATTGGACGACGCAATGTATTAACATATAATGAGGATCTTTGTAATAGTTATTCTCTTTGTAAATCACTTGTCCTTAGTTGTTCAGACTCACCTGGGTACCATCATCATTAACATTTTGAAATTTATAAGAGTGCTTTCTCATTTTTTCCCCTAACTCTTAATTCAATGTTCTGTCTATACTGTTTGTAGCACTGAACTAGGTATGTCATTGGATTTCATTTTCACATTTGTTTATGAGTCAACACATCATACACGAGTGATTTTTATAGTATTACTATGTTTTAAACTGATCACTAAAAGCATTTTCTTATTGCTCTCTCTCCCCCACTTATATATTCCTTCAACAGAGTGACTGGCCAGAAGGGTACCAGCTTGCATCCTCTATGAATTTCCGTTTTCCCCAGTGTGTTCCTATAAACCTAAAAACTCTTATTCCCAATGCCAGTAACGAAGCCATTCAGCTTATGACTGAAATGTTGAACTGGGACCCAAAGAAACGACCAACAGCAAGCCAGGTAAGACAAACCTCCTTGGTATAGCTTTTTTTTTCTTCTTTTAATTTGAGGTTTTACTATATCGGGGGTTATCTTCCTTTGCAAAGACAAGTCTATTTTTGACCAGAGTTTTACCAAGAGAAGTAAGCCCTAAAACTTAAGGCACCCAGTGTACCTAATGAATTAACTTCTAGGCATGTAAGATTCTTGGAAAAATTGCAAAAAATAGCCACTCCAGTGATTTTCTGTGTTTTGTGGTTCAAATGAGGAACCCTACGGAGGTTGAGGTTGAAAGGTATCAATCTCTAATGATAAAAATTCAGGCATGGACAAGCTAATTAGGAAGCAACTTGTCATGGGTGGTGAAGGAGCACCTCTTCAGTTAGACAGCCTCGTAGAATTTGCACTGCTCTCCTGCGGGTTAGAGGGCTCCTGTTCCCTGCACAGCCCGGCCGTCCCTCCGCGGGAACGGGGCCTCATCTCTCTCTCCCCCACAAGACGCAGCCTGTGACACCCACGCTTGGCTTCTTTGTGACTTAAACCTTCGATACCTTTGGAGGAATTTTGTCTCACGGTCTTAAAAACAGTACAATTTTATCTGCAAGTGGCTTAAATTAAAAAGTCATGATGGGCTTCATGGTGTTCTTATTGTTATTTAACTATTCATTAAGTGTTGAAATAAATGAAATAATAGTTTGGCTTTTAAAATATTTAATTTGGGAAAATATTTTCTAAAATCAACTGGAAGAACAGATAGGAAAGAATAACCAAGACAGGCTTGAACGAGAATAAGTAAGTTGGGGGATGGTGGTGGGGTAGACGGCTTGCCCTATCAAATATTAAAGTAATCTCTAACGGGACTTCCTGGCAGTCCAGTGGTTAAGATTCCATGCTTCCACCACTGGAAGGGGTACGGGTTCCATCCCTGGTTGGGGAACTGAGAGTCCTACATGCTTCACGGTGTGGCCAGAAAAATAAATTGTATTTATTACAAGAAAATCATAATCTGTTAAGTGATAGTAATTACAACAGTGAAGATACTGGCATATGTATGTTTAGTCACTCAGTTGTGTCCGACTCTTTGTGACCCCCATGGACTGTAGCCCACCAGGCCCTTCTGTCCATGGGGTTCACCCGGCCAGAATACTGGAGTGGGTTGCCATTCCCTTCGCCAGGGGATCTTCCCAACACAGGGATCGGGCCTGGGCCTCTGGCTTTGCAGGCAGATACTTTGCCGTCTGAGCCACCCTGGGACTCATGTCCTTAACAGTAATACTGATATTAATTAATGACAATAACTAACATTTATTGAGCAGGGGCTTTATGTAAAATTTCTGGCAGTCCTCACAAAAACTCTATTAGGTACACATAATTTTCACTGCTTAAAAATAAATAAACTGAGGAACTCAGACATTGCATAATTTGTGCAATGTTGTATAGTCAATAATTGGTTGAAGTGAGATAATGTTAAGTAAGGTAAATAGCAAAAGGCACAGTCACAAAATACTCTAATAGGGTCATTTTCTATTATAAATTCTCATAGTTTAATATATTTTGAGTGGTAATACGAGACTTTCCTATTATAATTTTTTATAAATATATGTGTATTTACTTTAGACAGACTCACAGCTTCCGCAACTGCATCTTATGCCAGTGCCTTCATTGTTGTAATTACTATCACTTGACATTTTTTATAACAAATACAAGTTACTTATTTTTTTTGCCACACCATATGTATGTATATGAAAGATAATGTAAATGAAAGACTAAAAAGAAATACTGAAAAGAAAAACATCAAAATGTGAGCAGTAATTTTCTCTTTGGTGTTGGCTTTAGAGATAATTTTAATTTTTTCTTGAAAACTTTCTATACATTCCTTATTCTATGCAATCAGTATTCCCTCAACAAACAGGAAAAAATGTTATTATTTTTTAAAGATCCCCTGTTTCTTTAAGGATGGTAGCTGGTATCTTAAAGGGGAAAAGTTACAGATGAAGCCTTGAAATTGCAAAACACGCTCCTATAAATGTTCTAGCTCCAAAATGTACATCATTGCCTGAGGAATACTGACATGTTAATTAATGGGACTACTTAATTCAGAATTTGCCTCCTGGCTGCCAGGTACTGATGTATTTAAATCGCCTACGGTGGTCGAGGTCCACCAAGCAGTGTCCGTGTAATTAACCCTTGCATCGGGTGTGGTAGGGGACACAGCAAAGTTTCTAAGGGGAAAACTCAGAATAAAACTTCCCCCCACTTCTGCCAAAACATACCTCCCTGCCCTTAACCTCTTTCTTGTTCACTATTTCAGTCCTGGGCTTTTCAGTGGAAGCAGGGAGACATGGTTAAGTTCTAGATGCTGCCTCTGTTCCTTCAAACTCTGCCCCTGCCCACCTAAGATGTTCACCGGGGGTCACGGCTCTGCCTCCACGTGGCGGGTGGGGACTGGCTTAGGGCAGGAAGTGCAGGAGAATGGGACTTGTTATCTTAAGGAGCCACCCTCCACCAACACACACATACAAAACAATAGAACTGGGAACTTCCCTCCGCATCCAGACATGTAATACTGACAAAGATCCATCTGCACAGCTGAGCTGCAGAGAAACCTTCAGACAGCGTCCAGACTAATTGTCATCAACCTTGGTGGTGTGTTAAGTCACTCAGTCATGTTCGACTCTTTGTGATTCCAGGCTCCCCTGTCCTTCCCCATCTCCTGCAGCTTGCTTAAACTCATGGTGATGCCGTCCAACCATCTGGTCCCCTGTCGTCCCCTTCTCCTCCTGCCTTCAATCTTTCCCAGCATCAGGGTCTTTTCCAGTGTCGGCTCTTTGCATCAGGTGGCCAAAGTACTCCTCGGTGTTCCTGACATTTTTGGCCCAATAATTCTTTGTTGAGGGGATGGGTGGGGGGCGGGCTGTCCTGTTCATTGTACGATATTTAGCACTATTCCTGCAGCATGCCTAGACACCAGGAGTACTTCCCATCCCCCGAGTTGTAACAGTAAAAAATATCTCCTAAAGGGCAAAGTCTCCCCAGGAGAGAACCCCTGGTCAAGACTGTGTCACCCAGTCTTCAGGTCCCCCCACCCAACTTCCAAGTAATAGCAGCAGTTTGATGACTGATCCAATCAAATAGTGACCATTTTTACTAGTATTTTCTTTCTTTTCTTTCTTGTTTTAACTAGTATTTTTATATTCTATCCCCTAAATAATCTTCTCTATGCTGGTATATTGTTAAAATAGACTTTAACATGTATATGTTTTCAGTCTTCTTAGAATTTTTTGTATTGCTAGTCGATATGGAGTTATAGTTAGAACAGCCCTGAATTTTAAATGATGTTAGAGTTTTTCATTTAAAACAAACTATGTAGAAGGCTTTCTTAACTCATTTCTCTTAATGCCTTTATGGGGTCTAAACCATTATCAGTATCTACCATTTTGGTTTGAATTTTTTTTCCAAATTCAGCCAATGTTACAAGCTAAATTTTGTTTTCATACAAAGTCTTTAAAAGAACATTTGCTTTGACTGGATGTGAAAATTACTGAATGTGAGTCTTATAGTCTCCTACTAACATGTACTTTTTCATTTTTTAAATGAAATTTAGTTCTCAAATTATTTTTTCCTGGGTATCTTTTTTTTTTTTTAAGATGTTTATTTATTTATTTGACTTTGCTGGGTCTTAGTTTTGGCACACAGGATCTTTAGTTGTGGCATGTGGGATCTAGTTCCCTGACAGGGGATCTAACCCAGGCCCCCTGTATTGGGAACGCAGAGTCTTAGTCACTGGACCACCAGGGAAGGCCCCCCCGGGTGTCTTTTTAAAGTCATCACATAAGGGAAAAAGTGGATGCTCTGTGAATCTTTGAAACTTACCCAGACGAGTGATACATGCCTAGCCCAATGCTGGACGATAGTGTATATGCAATAAATTTAGGAGAAACCATTTTTCCTTTTGTTTTTGCCATGCTGTTACAGGCTTTGAAACACCCATATTTTCAAGTTGGTCAAGTATTAGGCCCTTCCTCACATCATTTGGAATCGAAACAGCCTTTAAATAAGCTTGTGCAACCACTCGAACCAAAGCCATCTGCAGCGGACCCAGAACCTCAGCCTCTGCCGGACATAAACGACCAGGCTGCTGGACCGCCCCAGCTGAAGAACAGCCACCAGCCACTGCGGTCCATCCAGCCACCGCAGAACGTGGGTGTCCAGCCAGCACCCAAGCAGCACAGTCAGCAGAAAAGGCCGCCAACCCTCTTTCCAAGTATCGTCAAAAGCATGCCCACCGTAAGTAGCCCAGTATGACACTTTAGATGTGATATTTAGAGGTTTGGTTCCACTAGGATTTCCTTTCTAGGCATTCTCTCAGTGTCGGGGAAGATGTAAAAGATGTTTGTCTGTTTCGTTTATCAGAACAGACCCGGAACCCAGAACAGTGTCTAAAAGCGAAAGTGTGAGTCGCTCAGTCCTGTCCAACTCTTTGTGACCCCATAGACTGTAGCCCGCCAGGCTCCTCTGTCCATGGGATTGTCCAGGCAAGGATGCTGGAGTGGGTAGCCATCCCCTTCTCCAGGGGCTTTTCCTGACCCAGGGACCAAACCCAAGTCTCCTGCGTTGCAGGCAGATGCTTTACCATCTGAGCCACCAGGGAAGCCGTCTGACACATGGTAAATTCTCAACAAATATCTGTTGAATGAATAAATAAATAAATGTCCACTGGTTTGGAACCACCCCCAGGGTCCTAAGGAGTCCACGTTATCTTTGGGACAATTCTGACTACTAGAAAGTTCTTCCTCACAGGGAACTAAAATCTGGTTTCCAAAAGAAAAAATTTTTTTTGATGTGGATCATTTTTTAGTCTTTATTGAATTTGTTACAATATTGTTTCTGTTTTATATTTTGGTTCATCTGGGAGACATGTGGAATCATAGTTCCCAGACCAGGGATCAAGCCCACAGCCCCTGCATTTGAAGGCAGATTTTTAACCACGGGGCTACCAGGGAAGTCCTTGGTTTCTGTAGCTTTAAAAGTGAATCACTCTTCCAGAAAGGCAGCCTTCAGATACTGAAAAGTCACCCTTCCCTTACCTGCCGCTTTCTCCAGGAGAAACACACCCCCAGTTCCCTCCACTCGCCGATGGCTGACTCCCGCCGCGTCCCCTTCCCATCCTGCATTCCCCTTCCCCAGAACTAGCAGCAGATAGCAGGTAGGAAATGTAAACTGGGTGAACCACCACCTAAGTTCTGGAACGCTGTGTTCGCTCGTGCCATCAAGGATTATCTGGTTTTTTTTTTTCCCCCTTGAAAGGCACATAGAATGGGACTCATACCAGGAGGGGAAGAAAGGAATTTCGCATTCATAGCTACTCAGCGCCTTGCACGACGCAGCCCCCGTGTGCATTCCCAAAGTGACCTGTGCCATTCACCGCCTTCCTCCTCTAGTGCGCGCTCTCTTTACTAACTGCCCTTAGAGTCTCTGCCCTCAGCTGGTACCAAACTTACTAATGTAGAGTTCGTAAAAATCCACCTGCTACTTTACAGAAGTTATTAACACTTTCCCTTTTCCAGTCTTCTCAGACATAAGACGACTAGATGTTACTGGCGGTGTTCAGCAGCACCTAACATACAGTTCAGTCTCAGACTCAGGCAAGGATAACTGATTAACTCTGCCCGCCTGAGGCTTTGGATCTCCTTCTTCTCCTCAGTCTGGAGGTCATTCTCTCTCAAACACCACCTTTTGTTCATCACCCGTCACTATGGCACCATCAGCTTCGAGCAATGGCATATCCACTCTTTAAGCATCTTCTTGCTTCAAATGCAGCTGAATTTGCTGACCTTGCTTCCAAATTCCCAATTTTCAGTCACCTTGGGGATTTCTCAGTTTACGTGAGCCCCAGAACACCCACGTTAATCTGAATAAAACCGCCTCATTGTCTGCCCCAGCCTAGGTCTTCTTCCTCATTCCTTGCTAACGGAGCCACCCCTCTGAGACAGCCGGGCGCACACTGTGAAGTCTTGCCTGCCTTCCCTTCTCTGTGTCCCGTAGGATCACACCCGGTGACTTAAGACAGAACCTGACCCCTTGTGGCTTAAACCAGGAGGGGTGTTTTTCTCTGATGGCAAGAAGGCGGGTGGTGGGCCGGCCAGGGCTGGTGCCCCTTGTAAAGGGCACCCGCCTGCCCTGTCTCCCTTCCCCGCCACCACGCTCCGCGGGAGGCTCCCGGTCCCACGGACGGCTGCTGCTCCCCGGGGTGGCGCCCGCTGTCCCCGGGGGAAGAGAGAAACAGACAGGCACACGCCACCGGCAGAGCCTGACTCTGGTCCTCCTGGAAGCCCCTCCCAACAGGTGCGCACTGCATCTCACTGGCTAGATCGTGGCCCCTGGCTCCACAGAGCTGCGAGCGAGGCTGGCATTTTTTTAAGATATTTTCCATGGGCAGACTGCTGCCCAGAAGAGAATCCTAGTAAGGAGACAGAGGAGGGTGGCTACTGAGGGGCAGCCAGCAGTGTCTGCCACACTCACCTTGACCTCTGTTCAGAGAGACACTGAGTCCAGACCCTTTATTCCTTGTTAACAGAAGCGTGTGCTTTCTCAAGCATTCCAACCACAGTGAGTCCACTGTCCTTGTCACTGCATGCCGCTCTAACTGCAAAGGCCTCCTCTCTAAGGAGGCTGACCTTTCCCAAATGCTGCCTTTATTACATCACTTTTTTAGCTCAAAAACATCCAGCGTTCTCCATGGCCCAGAGGACAGCTGTCACGTCTTAGGGATTCATGGAAGGCCTTTCATCACAGAGCACCCGTCTGTCTTTACAGCCTTGTCCTCCAACCAGCACAACACATCCACTCCAGTCAGCTCCATCTACCTTTTCTCCCTGGAACACCCACTGACACTTCTTTATTAAAAAGACATACTTTATCCATTTCCTCTTCCAAGCTGTAGAATAACAACAGCAACACCCAGCATACCTAACATGGTCACACTTATGTGCAAGAAAGTGAAAGTCACTCAGTCGCGTCCAACTCTTTGTGACCCCATGGACTATACAGTCCATGGAATTCTCCAGGCGAGAATGCTGGAGTGGGTAGCCATTCCCTTCTCCAGGGGATCTTCCCACCCCAGGGGTCGAACCCAGGTCTCCCGCATTGCAGGCGGATTCTTTACCAGCTGAGCCACCAGGGAAGCCCATACGTGCAAGGACCCGTGCTAAAAACTTTGAATACATTTTACTATCAAATCCAAAAACACTGAAGTTAGATATAAACACTGTATCCGCCCCCCCACCCCCACCGCCATTTAAGGGGAAGGAAAAGAAGGCTTTGAAAAGTTAGGTCATTTGCCCAAAAAGCCACCCAGGGCAGTTTTCTAGATTGCACATCAACGAAGACTCAGCTCTGATCCTAAGTACTCAAGCCTCCCCCAAGCCAGGATCCCAGAGACCTCTCAGCATCCTATCACACTTTTAACCTGGGCTGTCTCTGTCAGCATCTTAGAACGCTGCACCTGTGTGTCTCCTTAACTCTGCGCAAAGCCCCCTGAGGCCGGGGACAGCCAGCGCCGAGTGTGCCAGCCTGCACACAGTAGGCCCTCGGCCCCCGATTAAAGACAGCGATGCCGCTTTCCCACCACAGAAGCCGTGTGGCGCCCTGGGCCACAAAGGCGCCCGGAGGCGCTGGGGCCAGGCTGTGTTCAAGGCTGGAGACGGCTGGGCAGACCTGGAGGACGGCGACTTTGGAGCCTCCCATTCCAAGAAGCCAAGCATGGGCTTGTCCAAGGAAGCAAGGAGAAAGGAGTCTCCGTTTCGGTAAGGGAGGTCTCGCGTTTTTCTCGGGAACCTATATTTTCAGCCCGCGTCAACTTGACTCTACTCACTAAGCGCAAATGAGTGTAGCTGGTAAAAGGTAAGAAGTGGCTTGGTGGTGTCTTCTTCTCTCAAACCCAGATCTCTGCGCTTCCCGCTGGGGAAGTTTAGACCCCTGATTCCGCACGGGAAGGATTCTCAGGATCACTGGCTGAGGGTGTGCGGTGAGGGGTTATCACGTTCAGCGTTGCGTGTGCCCCCGTTGCATTACGATCCACCGTTACTGCCTTTCGAAGCCCACACGCCTCTTTGCAAAAAGCGAAGCACAGTCTGCAGTCACGGTTTCCTCTGCCGGTGGTGTTCAGAGTGGATCGTTTGCTTGCTGCTCTGAATTTTTGCTCGTTTTCTGGACTCTTACTGAAAGTTCAACATGTCTAGCAGTCTCTTTTCAAATTTTTAATTGGAAGATAATTACAATATCGTGATGGTTTCTGCCCGACATCAACATGAATACATGTGTCCCCTCCGTCCAGTAGGGCTGTTTCTCATGAAGGGTCTCCCTGTGTCCAGGGCCACCCCAAAGCTGTGGCCAGTGGTTCGTAGAGGGCCAGTCACCTGAGTGTCCATCTCTCAGGGGGTCGAGTGGGTGAGTAGGGGGTGACCCTACTCCACCCTACTCCTCCCGGGGTGACCACGGAGGCCTGGGGTCAGATACGTGACAAGAACAGCCAGTGTGGCCCAGGCCTCCGCAGAGGAGCGGGGAGAAGGTGGTGGTGAGGGGCCACGTGCAGAGCAACACGCAGCGAAAAAGCCAAAATCACAAATGCCTCCTCTGGCAGCGACGGCCACTGCTCGGAGAAATGCCCTCCGCTCTGGACAGAGCCAGGCCGGCTCACCAGAGGCCTGCGTTCCGGCGCGGAACCGGGGCCGCATGGGTCCCTCCTCCTGGGACCCGGCACATCTCCGCAAACGCGTTATTTCCCTGCAGGGCATTAGGCTCGCAGAAGTTTTGTCTGGGATCTCTCCTAGCCCTTCTTCCCAGCGCAGCCCTCCTTAGCCCAGCCCGAAGCGTGTCCCAACACCCCTCGTGGGGCCACACCCCCGGAGTAGACGGGTGGACACGGCTGAGAGTCTCTCCCCTTTAAACACAACATCTTGAACCCACAGCTGCCACAGGTGTAGACAAAAAAACGGAAACACACTGTCCACAGGGCGATTGCCGCTTAGGTCTAAAATCTGTGCTGCACACTGTCCGGGATCGGGAAGGATTTCTGTCCGCTGCCGCGTCTCCGCTCAGCCGGAGTTGACACTCAAGGGTGTCTTATCGGCCAAAGGACGCCGATGGAAACCACTGGCGGGTCTGAAGAGGTGTGCAGAGGGTGGGGAGCGCCTCGCGGCGTCACCTTGCTCTTCTTCACCCGGTGACATCCCTTCATGTTGACTTTCGAGGCTTCCAGAGTCGGTGCCCGCGGGCTCCGGCTACTCACCGAGGGAAAACAAGAGCTTCCCTGCTGCTGCGACCCTGAAATCGGATTCGGAACTGTCAACTGCTTCCACGGCCAAACAGTACTATTTGAAACAGTCAAGATACCTTCCGGGTGAGTAGAGACCACAAAGTGTTTCCTGGTGACGAAAGCATGCTAGCGGGTCCTGCTCCGGCGTCCCTGAGTCTTTGACGAAAGGGCGCCCGTGACCCGCCGTCGCAGCCCTCCGCTGGCCCAGCCTGTCACCAGGCACTGTTCTGGACTTTCTGCCCCTGCGAAATGGGCTCATGAAACGCCTGGGAGCCGCAAATCAAGATGACGAGAGTGCTCCGGAGAACACCACCCTCCCCACCAAAGTGTGCCTTCAGTAAAAGCAAAACTTGATTCAGACAGTTCTGCACTCCCATTACTAGTTTATATATATATATATATAAGAGATGGAATTTATATGCTGTTCACTAAGTAATCTGCTGTGTGCTTTAAAAATATCATCTGACTGCTAGGTAGACCAGCTTAGGGGCTCAAAAGGGGTCGGGGGGACTGGTCGCGGGGCCGCTGCCCGTATCTGGGTAGAGAGGGCGATGACTTGCTCTGGGACTGACGTCCTCAGGACCACGGCGGGAGGGGTGGGAATTATGACCGTAAGAGAGGCTGCGCTTTGGAAAGGTGCAAAGGCATCAGTCAGCTTGTCAGTTTTGGTGTTGAAACCATGCGGAGGTTCTGTTCTGACTGCAAGAGCAGGAGTGTAATAAGGTTTTCAGAACACAGATTCCTGGGGGACATTTCCCCCTGTTTGTTGTTTTTTTTAAGCTGAATCCACCTCACCGAAATAAAATCAGTGATGATGTTACCTACAGAAGTGCGCCCTCTCGTGGTGGGAAAGGCGATTGTAAAATTTTCGGCCGAGGATAGTGTTAGTGGCTCTTTGCGACAAAGGCTCCTCTGTCCATGGGATTCTCCAGGCAAGGATACTGGAGCGGGTTGCCATTCCCTTCTCCAGGGCATTCTCCCGAACCCGGGACTGAGCCTGGGTCTCCTGCATTGCAGGCAGACTCTTTAGTGTCTGAGCCAGCAGGGCAGAAGATGAATGGATCCCAAACGCCCTTTTCCCAGTTCTGCTTGTTTCCTAATGTAGTTTTCAAGTTATTTCAGGGTATCTGAGACCCGTCTGACTGTTTCCTTTTTACCCAGAAAGCTCTAACCAATTCTGCTTACTCTGGGTCAGAAGCATGGCTGTAAATTGAAGCCTGGGAAACACTCAAAATTAGAATGAATTGTTTGCAATCTAAACCTGAGCCTTTCTGTACCCTGTCCTGACATATTCTGTCTCAAAGACAGCCCCTCTAGAGCTGGGTGAGAATTGAAACTAGAATTGAGCTCAGCCCAGTCACTTGGACAAACATTTATTGAGCACCTACCGTGAGCCAGCAGAGAACAGATACACAAAGAAGTGATCTTTGACATTTATTTCTGGCCATAGTTATTCATTGAATATCTTCAGGAATAACAAATAATATTGCCTTTGGGCCCCTGCCTTTTTTTTTTTTTTAACTGTAAAGCTAAGTATTAAGGTCTTATGAAGCATCAACCTTCAGGATCATGGGAGCTCCCAAAATGTGCCATATAATTTCAGGGCAGCATGACATCATACTGCAAGGATTGGCAGATCTGTGACACAGGCCTTCAGGGAGAGAGATGCAAGAGTCACAGTTACTGAGCTGCTGCTGACTGGCCGTGTACTGGAGCACGACTCTGAGGTTCTGTTTTGTTACTGCAGTGGGACTGCAGTCATCAGCTCCCCCTGTAAGCCTCAGGAACTTCATGATCACATGGTAGTTGTTGCAAATAGTGTACGGAGGACATGCTCACCATCTCCGCGATGCCCTCTGGTCTCACTCCTGGTTCTGGCACTTTTGAAACCCGGCTCGAGTGGACCTTCTCGAGTCTCGTTATCACATACGGTCCTTCCTTCCACCCGGTGAACCCAGCGTCCTGTGTCATTTCTGTGTGTGCCCCTCCCAACTGTACTTACACTTTCTTAGCAAGACAGAATTCTGGGATCTGCCGCCCACTCAGGCCATGTCATGTTCCCCCTACCCCCTCCATCCTTGGGATTGGCCCCAAGGTCTTTCCCTTCCAGAAACACACCTCCCTACCCGCTACCCGATCCCCAGCATGATTCACATTTCAGCTTTAAATTACCTTTTAAAAGAGACTGGCTTAGTTGCTTCTGTTTTTTGCCCCCTCGGCACCAGACTCTTAAATAATCCCCACACTGCTAATAACTGGCTTCTCTACAGCTGTTGATGTCTCCTTTTTAATCAGAGTAGATTGTAAGGGCCACAGGGCAGAGGCGGGTCTGTTCTGTTCACCACTTTTTCTCCAATGCCCACACACTGCCTGGCATGCAGTAGGTGCTCAGTAAATGTTTGCTAACTGACTTTTTAACTTCCTTTGAGGGGAGGGATGATAGAGTGATTTCTGCTTCTCTTTAAGAGTGTTTAGTTTAAGAAGGTGGTCTAGAAAAGCCTGTAAACTAATACATGTTTTAAAATTCTACATTTTGCCTATTTCCAAGAAAACGGAAATCTTTAAAAAGACAAAGAATTGAAGCAGTTACCTTCAATAGTATGTATGTACTTTTAAGAACTCGGAGTATCGCAAGGCTAATTGTATTAAAATAACTTAACTATTCAGGGCCCATTCTTTGTTGAACTATAAAAAAATGTTCACCTAGAGAGATTTGTAGTTTTTCCCCCTGACCTTATACCTACTTTGTGGGTAAATATCTAAAGATGTTTTTAACCTGAGTCATTGCTACTTGCTGCATCTTCTTTATTGTTGGGTGATTGCTTATTGTAGCTCTATTTGTAGGAATTTCATCAGAAACCAAACTCCATAAGGAGCTACATCCTACAATAAAGGGAAATGATTTGCCTGATGGAGTGTTTCCTTAGAGAACTGATGATGAGTAACCTTGAGGTTCAATTCAGAAACCACCAGGCTTGCTTCTGGCTTTCAAACAAGGGATGTTACATGTCTCATAAACGTGAAACCTTGTCAAGGAGCTCAGTCTGTGAAAAGCCAGAGCCCGTATCCCCTGGGGAGAGTTTCTGACTCACTGCATTAATGGTTGGGAACCTACGCGTATGACCCAGAGGCTTAGACAGTGTGACAACTCAAGTGTCTCCTAAACTGAACCCGATTTCCTTATCAGTGAAAAGACAGCAAGTTCAGGAAGTGTCCAAATCTCTTTAACACATGTTAAGCCAACACCCTCTGACCACTGGGTAACGAAGGCTGATTCCACCTTTCCCAGATTTTGGAAAATCATAAATAAACTGTTGAGATTTTACTGTATCTGACATGCAAATAAGCTTCCCAGATGAATCTTTATGTGTACTTCCCAACTTCTCAGTTCCCCTGGGTTCTTGGCCACATGTCTGTTTTTCCAGCTGAATCCAGCATGTTTACCCAGCTTGAAACCAACCAAGTGTTCCGCAAGGGTCTGGCACAGAGTGCACACTCAAAATGAGTGAGTGACATGGAAATGTCTTTTGGAAGATTTTTGTGCCATCTCAGTTTTTACAAAACATTTAGCAGGAAATGTCCAATGTTTATTATTATTTGCATAAAAAAAAAAACCAAACTTATATTTCTAAAAGACACTGTGAGGATTTCAGGTGATTGTGTTGAGGGTTAGGAAGGTGTCAGGGTCCACATAGTAAGTATTTGCTATCTTACAGCCAAAATTTATTTCCATTCCCCCAAGTTGTTTCTAGTCTTAGTTTGAATGTATATTTTTTTCTTCAAGTTTATGATCACACTGTAACCTCTGAAATGACTGTTTTGTCCTTCTAAGGTGTAAACCCCAAGGACGTGTCCCTGATTGCCAGTGGGAAGGATATGAACCCATATGTCTGGAACAGCCAGTTGTTTCCTAAGTCCCTGGGACCCTTGGGGGCAGAGCTTGCTTTCAGAAGGAATAACGCAGGTAAAGCAAGATTGCATCCAAAGTATGAATTTACGTTGTTCTCCTTCTGCAGATCTTTACTTTAAAATGTACTGTGGCTGTCTTCTGCCAACCAAAATGCCTTCGGGGGGCACAGGAGGGCTTCCAGATGGTCCTCAGCAGGAGAGTTTTCAGGAAATCACTTGCTAGACCTTAACTTCTCTGTGGGTTCTTTCCTAAAATGGATCTGCCTGAGCAGGGGTCTCTTTTCTCCTGTTTTACAAAAGAAAAGACTTGTCACCACTCACTACAATGTGTTCCCCTCTCACACCCACCACTCAAGTGTGAAAATATCTGGGGTGCCAGTCAGAGGGCCAGTTTGATGTTTTGGTGTCAGTGTTGAGAAAGCGAGTTCCTCTGATGATTGGGGGACAGATTCTTTTTAAGTCAAGTGGTTTCCAGTTCTTAACTTGTAAGAAAATTGAAGGAGAACCTGAGTTACAGCTGAATAATTAAAAATCATTCTTAAAACTAATACAATATTGTATTAATTCCATTGTACTCCAACATTTATGAGATTTCTAGAGATTTCTCATTGCTTCCCATCTTAAAAAAAAAAATCGAAGCTGAATTCTGATTTTAGCAATAAATAATATTTATTTGGGCTTCCCTGGTGGCTCAGTGGTAAAGAATTCATCTGCAATGCAGAAGATGGGGATTCAGTCCATGGGTTGGGAAGATCCCCTGGAGGAGAGCATGACAACCCAGTCCAGTATTCTTGCCTGGGAAATCCCATGGCCAGAGGAGCCTGGCAGGCTACAGTCCATGGGACCTCAGAGAGTCAGACACGACTAGCATGCTATATTTATTTATGGATATATGAACCACTTGCAAAAGGGTCCATCTTTCTCATTAAGAGATGAATTTTTTAAAAAATCCAACCTTTCATTTTTAATAATAAAGTTTTATAATATTCATCTTTTTGATTAATTATATACAATGAATCATTCTAACTAAAACAGAAAAAAAGTATTTTAATATACTTATGGTTGGTTATGAGACCCTTTTTAAAGGTTTTAATCTATACATATTTTTGACGGGTTAAAGGCTTTTAAATCTAATATTATGTTTGGATAAAATGAGTTAACATGAATAAAAATAAAATTTTAGAAAGAAAAGAGATTCATGTGAAATTTCTACCTGTCACAAAGGACTGTGGTCACGAATTTCTTAAGTCAGTATTGGTGAGGCTAAGATCACTATGGTATTTAGATTCCATTGGTTGTATTTAAGAGAGAGATGTAATATTTTATTTTTAAATGTCTATAATCACACTATGCCAGAAGGTACATCCTTTGGCACTGCTAAGACTTATGATGAAACATTTTAGATAGCAGCTGAAAGTGAGTTCTTTTTTAAAAAGGAGATGTAGGTGGTATTGGATCAAGAGGGTGAGGGTCACTGCTCTGGCCGCTGAGGGGTTCTGAGCGACACCACACACTCTGGACACCTCACAAACTCTCCACGCTGCGAAGACTCGGCCCACCCAACAGTGCCGAGGTGTCCCATGCTGCGGCACTGCACTTGGCTTCTTTTTCTCTCAGTTACTTAAAAACAGTATTCACCGAACCAAATGGTTGAATACAAACAACAGCCCCACAGCTTTGAGCCTCAGGGGAATAGATGATCGACAGAAAATGAAAGCTGTGATTGCACAGGAAACATATTCTCCTTTTAAGGTTTCTTTCTGGATCTTATCACTAATCATGGAATCCATTTCTTCCTCTGCTTTTCCTGTAACGTTCTCCTTCTTGTTCATTCTTTTTCTGTCTTCTCTTTAGAAGAAAGCATAATCAAACCCATTGAAAAGCTATCATGCAATGAAAGCTTCCCTGAAAAATTAGAGGACCCACAAGGTAATTTCTGGGCTCGGTAGATGAGTACAGCGTGTCCTTCAAATCTCCTGTCCAATGTGCCTCTCCACATCTATCCCAAACATGGTCGTAAGAGGCCCCTGTGATGGCCGAAGGCACCTGCTTCCAGGGGTCAGATCAGGACTAGGAGAGACAGGAGCGTCCACACCGTGAGCGGCCTCTTTCTTCAGTCGTTGGGATTCTAAGAGTAATTTGCTCTCAAAAAAGCTCTACACTTGTCTTCTGAAATTGTGACAATTTATAGAAATCAAGCAAATCTGCTGAAAATAACTGAAAGAGTATTTTCACTGATGGTGGTGGAGGGTGATAACAGCTGACACATGTTGGACAGCAGATCCTGTGCTAAGCGCTTCGGATCCACCTCGCTCAGTCCGTACAACAACCCCATGAGAACAGGTGCACTCACCAGGGTGATTTTATGAGATAATGAAGTGCCCAGAGGGATGGGGGCTTCCCGGAAGGAAACCCATTCTCAGGTCACGAACTGGAGTCACACAAACCTCAGGGGACCTTTTAGGTTCACGTTCGATCTCAGTCACTTACTGTGAGAACTTAGCCAGGTCAGGTGTGGGTAACATGCCTCTAAGGGGGTTGCTATGCGGACTGAATGGGAGTGAGTGCCTCTAAGCTCATAGTGCCTTGCATGAAATATAGAAGATGCCCTCCAAGTAGAATTTAGCATTAGTAGTGGTTGTAATCAAAGTTACTCTCCGGTGCTTTAAAAGTATTCACCTTTTGACTCTGAAACTTTATGATACGTCACTAGGAAATCTTGGAAGTTATGCTCCTTACAATCAGGCAGGATATATTCCTTCCTTTCTCAAAAAAGAAGTGGGGTCAGCTGGCCAGAGGATACACTTCGCACCTCTTGGTGCGACAGCTTCAGGTAAGAACAACTTCAGATCACAGTTTTTGAGAATTCTGATGAGAACGGCACTTCCAAAGACTGTAGTCACCTTTCCTGAGTGAAGACCTTTAAATTAGTCTCATCTATTAAGTACAGTTCTAATAGCTTTTGGCAAAATGTCCCATTTTCCTTCCAAAGATGTGGTTTGATGAGTCTAATGACAGGAGCCACTTACACAAGGATGTTGCCACTGAATTGTCCCAACGACCTCATCAGGTCGACCTTTTACAGATGAGGAAGCTGACATTGTGAGCAGCTCACTGAGGGTCACTCGGCTCGTAAGCGGCGGAGCTGGGACTGAGCCTGTCCGTCCAAGTCCAGAGAGAGGGCTGTGCTGCCCGAGGAGACGTGAGAGGGTGAATCTCTCAGAGCTCCCTGCCTGGTACCAGGCACTGAGCAAAAAAAAACCGTGACAGATGCTGAGGCTCCGCCACGTGTCAGGTAACGGGAGGCTCTTCTGCAGGTCCGTCTTAAGACTTTAGAAATAAATCGCAGAACTCTCACCGGCACTTGCCTTGCAATACAGTAGGCGGTGAAGTCTCCTTCCGCACCCTCCGACGCGAGGGGGAGTTAGGTCACTCCTCTGTGGTGGTGTGGAGTGCAGCAGCCACGTGCAGGGGGGCACTACTGAAACTGAAGTGAGGATTCTGGACTGGGGTTGACCCGATTTGACCATGGATGTTGTCTAAATTATTTCAATCTGAAATAGATATCCTGCCTGATTAAAGCACCTAAAATAAACACTGAGGCAGATAACTTCAGGTTTGATAGGGTACCAAGTTACAGTTTAATTTAAAAGTTGACTTCAAAAGTCTTCTCCCAGCCAGGATCTTATATTAGAAATCCTGGTTAGAGTCACCACTCTTTAAAGTTCACACTCTTGGAGTTAAAAGTGTAAAAACCACTGGACTCTCGCATTTTATGTCTTACCACAGTAGAAGTGCTTAATCAGTACTGTTACCTTATCTGTGAAAAGAAATGCTTCAGGGTCTCTCTGCTGAAACAAAATATATAAGTAAACATTTTACCCAGCAATACTTTTTATAAAGCCTGAAATATTTTAAGCCAGCATTATCACGAGTCATTAGCCACGACTTGCTAGCACTTTTTAATATGAAGACAGAAAATCATAATGTCTTAAAGCTATTCTGAGTACCTGAGAAAGTAAAAGTGAGTACTTTTGAATATATTATTTTATAAGAGATTGGAGGCCTTTATATATTAATTATTCTGTCAGATTAGCATGCATATTCCTGGTTTCATTTTTTAAGTAAAATGCTCTCTCATAACTTTTCATCTCTTCCATTTACTCTGCTTATCAGATTTTCCTACAGATCGTGCTAGGAGGAAAGGTTAAAAAAAGAAGTAAATATTAACCATTCTCAAGTGGTCAATGCAAATCCTTAGGAAAACACTGTTCTGTAAGAGATGTGTCTTCCAGCCCTCCCATTGGTGTGACAGTTGCCCACAAGAGAATAAACCAGGTCATTACCGTATTTATTTGCCTGTTTCCCGTCTCTCGGGCTCCCTCTCTGCTCTAGTCCTCATCCTCGAGTTTGGAGCAGAAACGTCAGATGAGCCACCTCCTCCCTCGCCAGGCTGTCTCTCATCCCCCTGGTGCCTCCGTGTCCCCTGCTCTGACGGCCACAGGGACCCGGTTCAGACACCATCTGCCCCGAGGCGCGCTAACTCACTGAATTCTCCCAGCGCCTCTGCGGCAGAAGGCGCCGTCGTGAGCTCCACCGCACAGAGGTTTTCTGTCTTGCTAAAAGTTATGGATCACCTTCTTAACTGGAGGCAAACACCTTTTCCTTTGGCCAACAAGGAACTCCTTGTTTTCGGCAAGGGGCTAAACGACCCTGAGAGGAGACAGGCCAGCTTTAAAATGAACGCACAGCCAGCGTCTGCAGGCTCTCAGCTCCGCTCGGGGGGGTGGTGCAGGGTGGGCACCAGGTTCGTCACCCCCGGGGGGCTGGAGCCCTAAAACAGTTATTTCCCAGGAAGGACTCCTGCCTCACTGGCAAGATGATTCCCTTTTGAAAGAAGGTTTTACGAATACTGGCCTGAACAGTCTCCTTCAAATGCATCGGGACTTGACTTAGACTGTCACGATGAGGAAAGAAAGCTGCTCTGGGTGTCACTCCCCGGGCCCTTGCTTCTCACCCACTGGTAACTTAGGAGTGGGTTCCCTTTCCCCGTCTCTGAGCTACGGGGGGCCGCCTCCGAAGTGCCCTCTCCTCCGCCCGCCCGTGGTACCATTCTGCTCAGCCGGCGTCTTCAGATGGGAGGCCGCTAATTTATCATACTGATGCTGGTCTGTATCCCAGGGGGTTATAACCAAAGGGCTATTCTAGAAAACATGGCGCACTTACCTGGCCCTTCTAGACGCTGTCCCTGTCTTTGTTAGGAGCTTTGTGTTGCCTCTGAGAACTTTAAACCCAGTATGCGTGGGATGAAATGACCTGGTAAAACCAAGAAAGAGCTCCTGGCCTCCTTGTCCCGACCAAGCCACCAATCCCCCAGCTGACCGTCACCAGGATGGTGCCTCACTTAAGGCTTCGTTCCCTGTCAGCCAAGGTTAGCAGCACGTCAGGACCCACCTGCCCCCATGAGTTCCTCCTACACTCCCGATTCTACAGTAAAAATGTAAGAAAAGAACGGGAAAAGCATGCGAATAAATAGAGCAGAGCTAGTATTAAAGTGTACAGAATGGTTAGTCATTTCAGAATTGACTCCTATAATCCAAGAGTGATACTGACCACATCGTGTCAAAAGGTATTTAAATCCCAAACAGAAAGATGGACCATCAAGTGAGAACAGCTTGACACCTGGCTGCCAGTTGGAAGCAAGGAGGGGCAGAGGAGGGACTGAGAAGTTCTCTAGAAAATGATTTTACTGCTTTGTCATTTGAGATACTCAAGCAATCAGAGCTTAGAAATGGTTCAGGTAACAAATGTCTAACACAGTAAAATGTTTCACAAAGTCTTCATCTGCCAAATCTAAGTATGAATAAAACGAGCCTCGTAATGAAAGGTTTGGGGTCCGAAGATGGCTCACCATTCAAAGGGCGTTTGTTGTCATCCATCAATTTCCCAATAAAACATTTAAGTTTCTTGACTCTAAAAACCACATTTTCAGGTTTAAAGAGGAACCTACAATGGGACCCCACGAAGTCAGACTTTACAGGACTGACAATTGGGAATGCATTTTCTGTAGTGAAGCTGTGTTCAAGTGTCATTTAGATGTAACCACAGTGTGATATAAATAGTTACTAACACTGTGGGAAAGACTGCAGGCAACAGGAGAAGGGGGAAACAGAGGATGAGATGGTTGATTGGCATCAGTGACTCAACGGACATTTGAGCAAACTCAGGGACGATAGTGAAGGACCGGGGAGCCTGGCATGCTCCCTGGGGAACTTACAGTCCTGCAGCCAAGGGTCTAAACACTGTGACCCGGGCACAGCCGGTGCCCTCCGTGCACGGGAGGACAGACTGGGCGGCCAAGTACGGGGGCCGCCGGTAGGGATCCAGTGTGAAGCCCCACGGCGCCCGCCGCCGAGTTCACCAAGTCCCCCGACCCCGGGAAACGTCTACAGATGTCTATTTCTGCTGTGTTCTGAAAGAAATATATAACAGTGAATACCCTGAAGAGCAAAAATCATCTATTTTCTTTCTTTCCTAGAAATGAAATGCATTTTCTTAGCATCATTGCCCACAGTGCTGATAATACGGGTAGGACTTTACAAAGTATTGAATAAACTTTATTTGCCAAAGTATCAAGTATTTGATCTATAAATTAGTAGATACTACTCTAAGAAGCTTTTTTTAAAAAAGAAAAATGCCTCCAGAAATTAAGTGTTTAGAGTGTTTTATATTTGCCCCAACTAATACGTCGCTTGGCCTCAAAGGTTTGTTTTGTTACAGCAATTCCGTAGATGGCTGTGGGCTGTCCCTTACAGTTCTGTGTGGCCGAGGTTCTGCTCTACCATTGGGCAGTGGCAATTTATAAAAGATGGTACCTCATCATTTTCCTCTTTTGGAATGAGACAATTTTGGAAGCAGTGATAATTCCAACCTAGAGCAGGGTGTCTTTCTTAGAAATACTTCTTTAACAAAGATTTCAAAATTACATCACCTGATTATAGCAGAGAAAGAGTCTCCTGTTTGATTTTGACCAATACAACCGCTGTGATTTAATGGTGACGTATCAAACCCAATGCTTGATGCCTTCCAGCTTGATCAAGTCAAGGTTCTGTCATCTTCACATCCAGCGTGTTCATCACTTTCAAAATGCATTGTTTCGGCATTCCCACCAGACACACAGTACGCCAGCTTGTCCTCCAAAGCAAGTTCTTGCTGCTGCTGCTGCAGACACATCACTGACTCAGCTCTGAACGTCACACTTGCTCTGAAGAGCAAATGCATTCGGTTGCTATAGCGATGATCTCACTTACGACATGTTTTTCTTAGTTTTATTTTTAAATTGCTATTTAAAATCGACATTTTGAACTTAGGACTGGTCTATTTAAGCCTGTCATTTTATAGACTGGATATTCTTTTTAAAGAATAATGTTATCAAACTGCTGATAACTTATCAAACTGCTTATCAAAATGCATAAGATTATGCATTTTATGACTTTATAACAAATGTAACTGGTATCATCTTGTGGACATTATATAAAGGCACATTGTATTAAGAATATGGTATTTTTGTACAGAAGATTGAGCTCACCTTGTTGAAAAATGTTAAAATCTAAAGAGTAATTTATATTAATATTAGTGATAATGGCACATATATATTTGTAGTTTTAATGTCTCGAAGCTAAAATATTCTTTTGTGTTGCTGGGAAACTTTTAAATTGTGAATAGATATTAAAATTGGTATGGTTAACTAGTCTGTTTTCTTTACATTTTTAAACTTTGTACTCGTACTCTGAGGCCTGTTTTTGTTGTTAACGTCAACTTTTTTTCTTTAAACCAGTTGTGGGTTTATGAAACGTTTAATCAGAAAGTAGAGTTTCCATATCCTCCTTCCTCTCCCCCTCCTCAGTTCTCCCTACCATGAGCATCTTGCCTTAGTGTGGTACATTTGCTACAACTGACGAACCAACATTGATTCCCTGTTAGTAAAGCCCACAGTTTACATCAGGGTTCAGGTTTTCGTGCTGTACATTCTGTGGGTTTGGACAACATGTCTAATGACATTTAACAACCAAAGTTGTAGAGTATCTCACAAAACAGTTTCACTTCCCCAGAAATCCCTTGTTGCACCCATTCCTTCCTCCCGGGAAACCTCTGGCAACCACTGATCTTTTTATTATCTCCACAGTTTTTCTTTTTCCACAATGTCATGCAGTTGGAATTACGTACCATGTAGCCTTTTCAGACTGGCTTCTCTTGCTTTGTAATATCCATTTAAACCTCCTTGCTGTCTTCTCGTGGCTTGGTATCTCATTTCTGTTTATCACTGAATAGTGTTCCCTTGTCTATATGCCCCTTGTATCATGGTTTATCCATTCACCAGCTGAAGGACATTTGCCTGCTTCCAGAGTTTGGGCAATGATGAACAAAGCTGCTATAAACATTCATGTACACGTTTTTGTGTGGATGTCAGTTTTCACTTCACTTGATTCACTGCTGGATCATATGGTAGGAGCATGTCTGATTTTGTAAGAATAAAACTGTCTTCCACAGTGACTCTACCCTTTTGCATTCCCACCAGCAGCGAATGAGAATTTCTGTTGCTCCACATCCTCACCAGCACTTGGTGTTGTGTTTTGGATTTTGGTATTCTCGTAAGTGTGCAGTAGGATCTCATTTTTAATTTGCAACTCCCTAATAACATAGGATGTGAAGCATCTTTTCACACGCTTGTCTGTGTATCTTCAAAAATTAGATTGTTTTCTTATTGCTGAATTTGAACAGTTCTTTGTATGTTTTGAACAAGACCTTTATCAGTTATCTTTTGCAAATGTTACCTCCCAGTCCGCGACTTCTCTTTCCATTCGCTCAATGTTCTCTGTGGAGCAGTTTTTAATTTAAATGAAGTCCAACTTATCAGCTTTTAATTTCATGGATCATGCTTCTGGTGTTGTATCTAAAAAGCCATCACCAAACCCATGGTCACCAGAAATTCTTTTCCTATATTCTAGACATTTTGCAGTTTTATATTTAGACCTAGCTAAGATCCATTTTTTGGAAAGGTATTTGGTCTCTGATAAGATTCTTTTTCACGTTGATGTTCAGTTGTTTCAGCATCATTTGTTGAAAAGATTCTTCTCCATTAAACTGCCTTTGGAACTTCGTCAAAGATCAGCTGACCATATCCATGTGCATCTTTTTCTGGGTTCTGTTCTGCTCCACTGATCTATGTGTGTATTCTCACCAACACCAGCTGTCTTGATTCCAGCACTTTTGTATCAGTTACATAATGTCAGCCTACCAACTTTGTTTCTGTCCTTCAGGATCATGTTTGCTATCTGGGGTCTCTCTCTGCTCCGTATCGACTTCTAGCATCAGTTTGCCAATATCCACAACATAACTGGGATTTTTTTTTTATTGGGATTGCAATGAACAAGCAATATGGGTCAAGTCAGGAAGAACTGACATCCTGACACTCTTCAGCCTTCCTGTTCATGTACAACAACTGTCGCTCTATTTAGTTACATCTTATTGCCTTATTAAACAAGATGTTAACTGTAGGGTTTTTTTTTTTTTGTAGATTTTCTTGATTAAGTTGAAGATGTTCCTATATTTTCAAGAGTTTTTATTATGAAGGGTGTTAGATTCTGTCAAATGCTTTTTCTGCATCTACTGAGAATGATCACTGATCATGAGATTTTTGTTCTTTAGTCTGTTGATACAATAGATTACATTGATTTTCAAATGCTTGAGACAGTTCTGTATACCTAGAATAAATCCCACTTGATCATATTACATAATTCCCTGTATATATTGTTGGATGTGATTTGCTAATATATATTTCTACACCTATGTTCATATATATATAGAGAAACAGAGATCAAAACTTTTCACTAGGTTTGAAAATTTTTTAAATTAAATGTTAAGACAACATAAATATGTGAAGCAAAGATTAATCATAAATACCAGAAAAAACTGACAAACACAGAGTGGGAGGTTTTTCTTAGAAAACAGATTCAAAGGCCTTAAAAATAAGACATGAGTAACATAGCAAACAAAGGGTATCCAACATACATACTATATAGACTTTTAACCAATAAGGCAAAATACTAACATTTAACATGCACAAAAAGTTTACCTTATATTAGGCTACAAAGAAAATCTCAAATATAGAAATATGTAAACTACTTCTTTTTGCAGTATAGTAATAGTAGAATAAAAAAGTATTACTTAAACATTATCCCTTGAAAATTCAAAAATATTGTTCTAAACACTTCAAAGTCAAAAGGGAAAATCAAATCTGAAATAAATACCCTCAGAAATGGAGAAAGACAGACTTCTGTATTAAACCTTGTAAAAGTCAGTCAAAACAGATTGCAAAGAAAAAACTATACACTTGTTCCATTTTGAGAGAAACAAAACCACTGAAGACGTGGTGAACTTGAGCATTCAGCTTAAGAAACTAGAAAGAGGAATAATAACTTTCAAGAGTAAAAAGGAATTAAGGTGAAAGTATAACATAACATCCCAGGAGCAACAAGCGTTATCCAGCAGCAGGTAGTGGTTTCTGATACACTGTCCAATAAAAGAACCAGGGCTCCTTGGAGAAACGGCCAATTCTAGCGTTGGGGTGTGAAACATACAAGATGAGCCTGGAGCCTCTTACAGTGCCAGGAGGTAGTGAAGTTCTATAAAAACAAGCAAGCAAAACAAAAAATGCCTACACTGACTGGCTATATCAATGGGCCATGGGCCAACTAAAAGAGTTCCCCATGTTCAAAACCGCAAGAATCCGAACAAGAAAATCAATGGAGAAGTATTGGATTACAACCCAAACTGGAAAATACCTGAGCCCACACTGAACGAGTGGATGGCCAGATGGACACCCAACAGGGATGAGGCGACACCTTCCATGCAGCCGAATTCCATGTAATTTTTATGTACACACTCTGGAACATGCAGTGACTTCCTTTCAGAGTACCACATGGGAAAGTGGGGGAAAAGGGAGTAACTTCACCATGGAGAAGCCTGAGGAACACTACCTCAGCCAGATGATCAAGGTCAGCATCAACAATAATGTATCTACGTTCATATATGTAACCTCCATCTGATGTGATGAAATCGACACTTCACCTCTGTGATCTTCCTCCTAAAAAAATCCAGATCTCAGTCTACTCATGAAAAACAGGAGACAAATCTCAATGGAAGCACATTCTATACAACACCTGATCAGTACTCCTCAAAACTCCGTCACCAGAGGCAAGGAAAGTCGAAGGGATGGTCACAGCCAAGAGGACCCTACATGGCAACTGAATGTAATATGCTATCCTAGATGAGATCATGCAACAGAAAATGGGTATTAGTTTAAAAATAAAAACTGAATAAATGCTTTAAGACACTTTAAAAAAAACACCCCAAAATTTGAACTATATGAAGGGACATACAATGTCCTGGATTGGAGAGTAAATATTTTATATGCAAACAACTCATACACCTCAATATATTAAAAAAAATAAAATAAAACTGGAAATCTAAATAGACACTTTCCCAAAGACATACAGATGGCCAACAGGTGCACAGAAACATGTTCGTCATTGCTAATTATTACAGAAATGCACATCAAAACTACAAGGAGGTGTCATTTCACACCACTCAGAACGGCCATTATCAAAAAGTCTATAAAGAACAAATGCTGGAGAGGGTGTGGAGAAAAGGGAACGTCCTGCAGTGTTGGTGGGAATGTAAACTGGTGCAGTCACCATAGAGGACAGTGTGGAGGTTCCTTTAAAAATAGAGCTACCATATGATCCAGGGATCCTATTCCTGGAAAGGTATCCAGAGAAAACAGTAATTCAAAGATACAGGCAACCCCAGTGTTCACAGCACCACTATTTACAACAGCCAAGACAGAGACGCAACCTGAATGTCCATCAACAGACAAATGGATAAAGCCAGGGTACATACACACAGTGGAATATTACTCAGCCATAAAAAGAATGACATAATGCCACAACATGAGTGGACCCAGAGATTTATATACTAAATGAAGTTAGAAAGACAAATACGACATCACTTCTAAGTGGAATCTAAAATATGATGCAAACTAACTTACCTATGAAATTGAGACTCAGAGACACAGAACAGACTTGTGGTTTTCAAAGCAGAGGGCAGGTGGGAGGGATGGTGTGGGAGTTTCCACTTAGTAGATGCAAGCTATTATATACAGAATGGATAAACAAGATCCTATAATATTCGGTATAAACCATAATGGAAAAAATATGAAAAAGAATTATGTGTATATATATATATATATATATATGCATATATAACGGAATTACTCTGCTATACAACAGAAATTAATACGTTGTAAATGAACTATACCTCAATAAAATAAATTTTAAAAAAAATAGGCTATGGCAGACATGTCAAACCATGTCATACACAAAGATGAGAAAAGTAAGGTTTCTTTCAAGGAACTTAAGCCAATTCATAAAATTGACTTGTAAGTGCCTGAATAACATAGAAGAAATCCAATCAATACCAGTGAAAGTTGAGATAAGTAGCAAATGTATCCCCTCCTTTTTTTTCTAAAGGGGAAAACCAAAGTAAGGGGTACCAGAATGAGTTAACTCAATGCTGAAAGAAAGTGAAAATGTGTAATTAGCTAACATGTCCAATGTAGAGACCAACCTAAGTAATCCCAGTTATAAACAGTTCTCTCAGGTTTCACATTTATAAATTAACTGGTTAACCACAATCTCATTTTTCTTTTTTGATTATGCAGTCCCACTAATCTTAGAAATTCAAGCCTAAATGCAATGTATAATCAAATAAGTTTTCTTCCTTGGCTTTTAAATTATTCAAAATGGGTAATTCCTAAATATCAACAAAACACCTTCATGTTCTTTTATCTTGTTATTCACATCTCATTCTAGAGAGCTGTTCTAGAGAGCTCTGGCAATGAAGACACTGCAGAAAATATCATTTACAGTAAACTTTATTTTCATTGATTTTATTTAACATAATTTCAAAGTAGGTCTGTGCTCTAAGATAAGCAAAAGAACAGATATCCTAAATCTCATTAACAGATCCTTTTCACACTGTTCCTTTAGCAGCGAGCACATGGGGCTTGGAGGGCCCCAATGGTGACACACTAACATTCTATCCCTGGAGATGTCACCGAGAGATACAAAAGAACAGATGACACTGACATAAAGAATCCAAGTCTATGAGGGCACCACAGGGAGAAACTCTCATGTTGCGTCTTACCCATCCCTTTAGGGCGTAATGATAATGACCGACGTTTTGTCTTTGCGAAGTTCAGTGCCATTTTTTGGTCTGTTCTGAAGAGAAATGTCAGAATATATGGAAATGCTGTACTTGTTTATCTTAATACATGAAAAAGAGTAGAAGTTTTAAAAATTCTTCATGAGTCCAAGCTGGGCCGTGACTATTACTGATGGGGTTTACCCAAGGCACTGATTCCAAGTTTGACGACCATCAGCAAACTGTTCAAAGGAAACACACACAAAAAAATTCAGGTCAAGAACAGCAGGAGCACTCGACTATTTTTAAGGGGCTAGACTCGGCAGGTTCCCCAGAAGTACGTGCCGAGGTGGTGCCAAGGGAGAGCCAGCGGAGATGGACTCCGGCCCCTGGAGCTGCCAAAGGAGGAACATGCCAAGGGCAGTTCTGCGCTCAGGCTTTGAAAGTGTACACGCGAGTCACAGTTCCTAAGGGAGCTGCCAGCACTTCAAAGATGAGAAAACAGGGCTGCAAAGGCCACGGCCTCCCCCGCCGCAGAGCTGGGTGACGGCAGACCTCCAGCCTGCCAGCTTACATGGCTCCTGACCTTCTTCCACACCGGGTGTAAGACTTGACTCCTGACAGCATCCTGACTACGATCCAAGTCAGTGAGTAAGCTTTTTCCAAAGCAGCTTTTAAAAAGGCTATCTTCGGGTTATCTTTATTAAACACTACATCTTAAGATCAACCTGGGTTGGATTTTGCAATCAAGGTTAATTAGAAAACAGGATTCGATCAGAATTTCGTTTTAGCGAAATTTTCGTTAGTAAAGGACACCAATACCGCTGAGTATCTACGGACCCCAAGCTGCAAGTCACAGCAGCGGGTGCAATCCCGGCTTCGCACCAAAGCCGCCTCCCCTGCGGGGAGGAGCCAAGAGGAATCAGAGCTCGGATGTGAGAGCCAGACCATTTCGGAAGTGAATGAGCATCCTCATCTCATTGTGACGTGAAATCAACTGTTTTCGCGGTCTTTCCTATTTGTGGATAAATTAAGGCATTTCAGCTGATGCTCAGCATCAGGTATATTGAAACAAGCGCCCTTCTGAATACCTAAAGCATCTGGGACACTGAACCAAAGCCAGCAACAGAGCAGAGTGTACCTGGCACCTGCGATCAGGCCTGCAGGCATGAACTTTCTCGAGTTGTAGAATCTCACCCCCATGATGCCAGCCAAGGTTCCAGATGTGACTGGTGGAAAGATAAAAAGAGTCAAAGATCAATACATCTAATACGTGGGAGGACGGAAAAGTGGCCAACTTCCCACCCATCTTTCAAAGGCCCAGACCCGATCTCATAATCCTCCTCCCCCGAGTCTTGGGACCTCCACGCCGTCCACATTTAATGGGACTAAGTATTAACACCAACACTGGCCTCAAAGGCTCTCAGTGTCTGATCCCAGCCTGCCTCCGCCTCACCTCCTACCACTCTTCTGCCATAATTCCCGTTTTCTCCTACACTGCCGTGGGGTTTTGTCCCCTCCTTGTTGCTGATGCTGTTTGCCCGGCATGCTCTCAGGCCCTTCCCATTCCATGTTTTATCAATTCCCACCACCTGCCCTGCAGCAGGTGCAGGCGACACAACCGTCATCACGGAGATCTCTGCCCTAACAGTGCTTCCAGCTTGATGCGGCTGACTTGAAAGAATCACACAAACAAAAATTTAAAAGTACAATCTGTGCTGTCGTTGAGTCATGAAGTCGTGTCCGACTCTTCTGTGACCCCACAGACGAGCCAGGGGTCCTCCATCCATGGGATTTCCCAGGCAAGAACACTGGAGCGGGTGGCCATGCCCTCCTCCAGGGGACCTTCCCGACCCTGGGATGGAGCCTGCGTCTCCTGCGCCAGCAGGTGAATTCTCTGCCGCTGAGCCACCAGGGAAGGCCATACTGTGCCACAGGTACAGTGAATGCATTACAGACAACGGAAGATTAGGGGTCAGCCCGCTCAGGGAGAAGGGCTTGCTGAGAGAGTGGGGATGGAGCTGCGATGTGAAGAGCGGTGCTGACGAGCTAAGGGCAGGAACGTGGGTCCAGGCAGGGGGCAGGAGCGGGAGGAGGCTGGGGATGTGCTGAGGCGCAGAAACCCACCAGAGCCAGGGAGAGGGCCACCCCCGGCAGAGCCCCGCGGGCCCCGGCAGGGACTGAGGTTTTCATCCGGGCGATGCGAAGGCATTAAAAGACACGAGCAGAGGGATACGCAAGCAGAGCTGCCGTCTGAAAATACAACTGCAGGCTGCAGGGCATCCATGAAGAAACTCCCTTGGGAATGCAGGCAACGGGGGCAGGGGGGCTGACTAAGACATGGATGATGGCTTTGGAGGCAGAGAAGGGGATGACTTGGGACGTGGGCTGGGGGGAGGGTTGACAGGACTTGTTGATGAAATGAACATGAAGACAGACGGGAAGAGAGCAAGGGAGACCCAAGTGGATGGAGCACAAGAGAAGACATGAAGCCAGGTCAGAGCTGATGCCTGGACACGCCTGGAAACTTCCATGCAGGAAAGTGGATACACACGAGAAAGGCTTGGCGGAGAGAGAGATCTGTGGGTCGTGTGTGTATTGGTGGTGATCTGAGGCCTGGGCTTCAATGATCTTGCCAAGGGAGAGAGTATAAAGAAGATAAAAAGAGCCAGGTTTTAAGAACCTTAGTATTTAATGGTCAAGAGAGACGGGTGGACAAAATAGACAAAAAAGACGAGAGAGACAAAAGACAATGAGAAAATACAAAGAAAAAAAAAAAACAAGAGAATGGAAAATGGATTGGCATACTGTGCCGAGAACAGCTAAAAGGGCAAAATAAAATAAGGACTGAAAAACGTACACTGAATTTTGAAATACACAGGCTCCCGGTAGCCTTGGGGAGAGTTATTCTTGGACTGAGAGGAACATAAGTGGAGGCTGAAGTGGGTTAAGAATGTGAGCCGAGGAAGTGAGAATGGGAGGGTGAAGGATTTTTTAAAGAGAAGTTTCTGAAGAGGAAGAAGGGCAGCCACTGAAGAAAGAAGTGGGGTCACGAAAGGTCCCTTTTCTGTTGTTTCTAAATGGGTGAGAGCTGAGCACATGGGCGCGTCCAGGGCTGGGACCCACCGAGGGGCTGGCATCACAGACAGGGTAGAGCTCAGAGAAGGGGGGGAGCAGAGACCCGCAGCCTGGGAGGAGGGGTGCGCCTGGAGACCAGGCATTCGCTGGCACAGAAGGGCAGCATTGGAAATGGGACTCGGGGATCTGAGGCGCGTGGGGGCAGAGCTGGGTGTCTCCTCATCCCCCCACGCCAACAGGGACCAAGGACTGGGGCTCCCTCGCTCCCCGCACAGCTGTGAGGATCAGAACTGCAGTTTCCTCGAGTGGGGGGGGGGGGGGAGGCAGCAGGGGGCCCAGAGGCCCCGCAGAGTGTCGGAGACGTGGGTGGGGCTCGGGAGAAACACAGCCAAGCCACTCAGATAAGACGGAACCTTCACCCCCGCGCTCTCACGTCCGGGCTGCTCATGGGACACGGCAGGAGCCCGCCGCCACCTGCGGTCCCCAGTGAGAGCTACGGCTCCCTGAAGGCCGGGCGTCCGTCTTATACACTTTGCTTACATCTAAAGGACAAATAAACGACTTTCAAACGGGAAAAACGCAATGCTGATGCGGACCTAACCAGAAACACGGTCCTTCAGCGATGCTCCAGCAGACAGTTCTCAGAGGGCGTCACAACGGTTAAGAGACACGTGCTTGCCCTCTGCATGTTTAACGCTGACCTCACGGGGTCAACCTCCATTTGGGAGGGAGGAAAACCTTTCCGTGTCCTCTACATAAAAGATCAGCAGCAATGGGCACAAACCCCCTCCTTTCAAACCTTCCCCAGGACTTGACAGAAGCAGGAGAAGCATCTCAGTCTGAAGAGCCTGCCACGTCCCACCAACCCAGGAATGCATCAGGGAGAGACCGTGAAACGACGTACCTAAGAAAAGCCAGACGTTCTTCGGATCCTGAGACAGCTGATAGGAACCCAGGCCAGCAAGACCACCGAAGAGGAGCCCGGCAGCCAGGGACGGAACGCTGCCTGGAAGGAGGTACACACACACCTGCGTTCTCCTGGCAAACACTCATCTCAGCAACAGGATCCCCCAGCCCGCCCCGCCACCCACCCCCGAAACCCGCGCAGAGGAAACGGCAAAGGGAACATCTCCCTGTGCCATTCAAGACCGAGGTGTCCTCATGCAGAAAAAGGTTTGGGGTAGATTGCTTTTTCCACTGGAGAAGTCAGGGCCATAACCACACCACCCCCCTCTCCTCTGACAGGCAGGGCAGCTCCAAAGGAGAAGGGGAGGCTCCTGGCCAGGGGTGACTAGCCTTGAGAAGACTGGAACTGCCTGTGGGCACAACCTCTGGCTCATCCCTAAAGGAAGGGGAAATAGGGTCAATGAGTTCAAAAAGGATTTTGGAGAGCGGGTTCTGGTGTGTGTGCTGGCGGTGGGGAAGCAGGCAAGGAAGGCTCCTGAAAAACAGCCAGATTCACTGACACACCTGCACCTGGCTTCAGGCGGACCTCGAAACCACTCATGTGGAGGTAAGAGGCTTTCTGCCACTTAAGAGCAGAGCTGGCCCTCTGGGGTCAAGGCTGACGTATGGCAGCTGATGATAACGACCATCTACCACCATCCCTAACCGGCATCTTTAGATAAAGAGGCAGAAGTGCCTAGACAAGAAGCCTAGTTTAGCTCAGCCAGATAACCTCGAGGCGAGTAAAGGAGCAGCTATGGGGCTGATGATAAGCAGGCTCTCCAAAGAGGAGGCTTAAACCAAACCTGACTCCAACAAGACTGTAGTCTGGGAGTACTGGGGACTCGTTCTTCACCAAGAACAAGATTGCAAGAGGTTAAATAAGTACAAACCATACCTGCTTTTGCATAGCCAATGATCCCGCCGGAAGCAACCAGTGCTGCATAGCCAAAGCCAAGCCAATGTAAAGGCACTCTGAAAACAGAACAGTAAGACATTGGTGCAAAACATTATGTGTTTTAAAAAACACATAACTGTAGGATGGGATCAAAAAGGTCATTATTCCAGAACAACCCTATCACTGTACAAACACTTATAAATCCCAGAGAGGTTAGATGACCTGCCCAGGTGAGCAGCAGAGTGAGGACCCAGACGCAAGTCCCTGTGGCAGGCGCACAGTCCATCCTCCCATAACCCCAGCTGCCCCGCACTCTTGGCTCAGAGGAAAGAAACTCTGCGTTTGAGAAGATCCTGGCTGCTCCACCCCCACCCACCGGGCACTTACAGCGGGCCAGAGTCCTTCGGCATCGTTCTCTTTCACTCTGTCCAAACCAGGCCTGCACCTGCAAAGGAGGGGCTGGATCAAAGGTGGTCAACAGTACAGCTCCCTAGCAGCCAGAAAGAGGTGGGTCAAGTTCCAGTTCCAGCCCTGGGTAGCTAAGAAGTAATGGCTCAACTTCTCTAAGCCTCAGTTTCCTTCACTGTTTACCTACCCTGTGCAAACTTCCCACGCTAGGGTCAGCATCAAATGGGATAATACATAAAAAGTGGTTTGCACACAGTAACTGCTGAACAAACAGCAACGATTCTGGTAATAATCTAAGTTCTAATAACATAGACCCACGGGAAACTTCACTGACCAGCTCTCTACAGTTAACAAGCTAATCTTTTCATCATCTAACCAAGTTATAACCAAGTTGGAAAATAAACACTCCTGTGCCCTTAATTCAAGTATTTTAATTAGCCTTTGTGGGGGGAGGGTGTACTGCTTTTCAGCCCCGCCCAAAGAATTAGATTATTTCAATACTCAATATAACACTTTCAGACAGTTAATTTTGCATCATTCATAGTTATTGTTAGACGGGGGGCGAGAGGAAGGATAAAAAACACAAAAGCCCAAGCCGTAATTACGTAGAGTGCTACACCTCTGGCAAACTAGGGTGGAACTAATTTCTTAAAGAAATGCATCTGGTATCCATCGAGGCTAAGCTTGAAAAAAACACACACCTCTTCTTATAAACTATTGTCTATAAGGGTTAGGGGAGCTTGGAATCATACCGCCGTCATTAACTCGACGTAGCATTGCGTCGAGCATTGCACCCACACTTTTAAACGGGTAAAATCTCCGGGAAAAGAACTGGCTAACTCGGTAAGCACCTGCCAAGAGTTCAGGGTTCCCGCAGAATTCACAACCCACTAGAAGGAAAGCAGAGGACGAGCGGTCAAAAGTCTAAACCAGCGTAAGATAATAATAATTCCAAAGCACACGAACCTCCTTCCCGAAAGTCTGCCCGCACAGGTCGACGAGGGCGTACTCGCCTCGGGGTGGGGAGTCACTGTCCCGCCGGAAGTGTTACGGCGCGTTTACTGCGTTTGAGGGGCGAGGCTTGAGACGTAGGGGCGGGGCTAGCGCCGTGGAGTCACCGCCCTCTCGGCGCTCTGGGGGCGTGGTGTAGGGCGGGGCTAGAGACCTGGAGTGGCAGCGCTCTCGGCGCCCTGGGGGCGTGGCGTGAGGCGGGGCTAGAGGCCTGGAGCCTCAGTGCTCTCTGAGCCCTGGGGGCGTGGCTTGGTGCGGACGACCCGGCGCGTGCTCTGTCCCCGGGGCAGGGAGAGTCACCGAGCACGTGCGTCCCGGAAGCTGGACGCGAGCAGGGCCGTCCAGCACTAGTCCCAGAGCCAAGCCAGCCTCGCCAAAAGCCTAAAACCCAGGACTGGAGTCTAGTTTTGACAGGCCTGGCGAGCTGGGCCAGGCCAGCGGTGGAGGTCACCCATGGGGGAAGCATGGAGGTGGCTCCAGTCCTCACCAGGTGTCAACCAGATGCAGGCCATCGGAGATGGATCCTCTAGCCTCATCACCTAGTTTGCTATCATGAGAAGGGACAATTTTCTACCTGCAGAATATACGGTGGCCACAGGCTAGACAATCTGGCTCACTTCCCTTTGTTTTAGGGAGTGAGACTACTTTAAGTGCATATTAAAAGGGGACTGACTGCAGGTGAGTTAAATTTGCAGGTACCTCTGCAATGTCCCCGTCCCTATCCCCCACCCCAACCCCGCCAACCACAGATTAACTCCACACCTGCTTCTCTTCCCTGCCTCACCACATTCTCAGTTGATGTAACAGCAATACGTGGGTGTCACCCGCTGCAAGTACGTAACAAGAACAGATCATACATATACAAGCCAGTGGAAACACACGGCCATCTTAATTGCAGCACATGGCCATCTTAAAAAAGAAATGCACAAGGAGGGTTGTAAGCTGTTTTATTGGGGGAAAAATGAGGACCATAGCCCAGGAGACCCTCTCAGCTCTGCGGAACTGCTCCCTGAAGTGGGGGGAGCGGGCAGAGGGCATCAGTATATGTGATTTTGGTGAAGTGGGTTGCTGTGCACTCAAGCACACATTTTGACAGAATGTTGGTGCTACTCAAGAGGAGCAGGTGCCTCTGTTAAGGATCTCTGTTAAGTGCTTTCATAGATAAGAGAAGACACGAGACTGGGCTCATAAAACCTCCTGAAGAGAAGTCTCTATCCAAAGGCCTGCTCTGCCAGTTTTTCCCAGAGTGCCTTATTCCTGATTTCTACCTAGAACTCCTCTGAGTGTGCTATAGGTCAGCAACTGCAGTGGCTAGGGACCTAATCCTCGTAGAGACAAATGGCAAGTGAGTTTTTGGCAGCATACATATTCTAAGAGAAAACTTTCCCATTCGCAGCAACGCCTACCTTTCAGATATCAAAATCGAAGCCTGCGTTTACCACAGCTGACTTCAAACAGCCAAAGCTGATAGTGACTAAGACCTGAACAATTCCACTTAGGCCAGACCCTCACCAACTTAATGGAAGACTCTGCTGAAAAAATCGATAGGAAACTTGCCTTAACCAGCCGGGATGACTCAGGGATTCACATCTCCTTAATTAGGGGCAAACTTCAAACCTTAAGTTCACCATGATACTCTCCCTGCCTTTGACACTTAAAGGAACTAAAAACCACAGAGATTTAATTACCTACAGTCCTAGGCCCTGGTAGAGCCATTATTTGATATAAGATACAAATAAATAAGATACAGTTTTAAGACTACCTTTGTTAGAAGATGAACTAAAGCCTATGGCCATACCACCCTGAACACACCCGATCTCATCTGATCTTGGAAGCTAAGCAGGGTCAGGCCTGGTTAGTACTTGGATGGGAGGTTAGTCAAGTTGTTTTTTTTTTTCTGATGGGCTGAAACAGATTTAAAATAAAGGAAATGTCATTTTCCTGTCTTAACATTTCCTTGTCATCCACTGGAAATAGAACAGTTTAATGACGTTTGGCAGCCTCTCTTTAACCTTCTATTCAGAGCCCTGAACTTCAGCGTATGCATTATACATACGTATTTTATTTATCTACAACTTTTAAGCTTATCTAAACATATTTCCTGGTATGAATGTCTTTTTATACCTTTTGTTATCAAAATGAACAAAATCCTCATTAAAATTACTAGAACCACTTGAAGACGCCAAAGTAATGCAGGTTTTTCATTCTTCCCCAGTTAAGAATATCTGAAAAATAACTCCTTTATCCACTTCTGGTAAGAAATGTATTCAAGATTTTCTATTATTTTAAGCCACAATATTTTGAGAAAGATCTTTATTTGCTTTACACAGCAGTAAAAATTATGTATTATAGGCTGCATGTGTGTGGGCTCAGTCATTATTTCATGTCCAACTCTCTTGTGAGCCCTCTGGGCTGTGGTCCACCAGACTCCTCTATCGATGGGATTTCCCAGGCAAGAATACTGGAGTGAGTTGCCATTTCATTCGCCAGGGGATCTTCCCAACCCATGGATCAAACATCTGTCTCCTACATTGGCAGATAGATTCTTTACCACTGAGCCACCTGGGAAGCCCATATTATACATTAAGATACTATATATCACCATGATATACAATTTATATTGCCTATCAAAGTTTTACCACAGTTTTTTAAAAAAACCTCAAAGTGATTTTTAAGCTTTACATTTTCTTCAAAAGAAGAAATTCCTAGCTTTTACTTAGGGGAAAAAAAGTATATTTGAAAAAGTTTTTCTGGTAGGAAAAAATCTGGGATTCACTGCATCATTCATATTTTCTTCTTTTTTCTCTTTTTTTCCGACATTTCCACCGTTTTTCTCTTCTTGGCTGACACCAGGCTGTTTCCCTTCGTTGGCTTATTACTGTCACCAGTTAAGCTACATTTCTCTGCGTCTGGTTTTGGCTGCCTTTCTTCCTCCTGGATTGCATGGCCAGATTCCTCTTTGTTGCTTCTGGACTGTTCTTTACTTACTAAAACACAAGAGACAGTGTGTTTAAAGGCGGTTTTTCCCTCTAAAATAAAATAAGTAGAGAATAAAGTGAAGTTATCTGGCGCTCCTCCACCTCAAGAGGTAACTATTTAAATTTTTTTAAAAGATCGGTCTCACTTACTAGGAGCAGGCTCGGCGGCAGCAGGCGGGCTTTCTTTCGTGTCTGTCCCTCTGTCCAGCCACACCCCAAGACATGTCAGCCTGGCGTTCGTGTTTACTTCACACAATAGAGATGGGGAAACTGTCTATAATGTAAGAAAGAAAATGTGAGATAACATAAAGCAATCTTAAATAATTACTTTTATTTTTCCATAATCAAATTACCTTAATTAAAAACTCACACAGCATTTTCTTGAGTATGAGAGCAGTGCTGTTTAGAAAATACTTGTGACCTTGACTTGTGATTGGTTTGACTATGTCCACCAATTTCTAAGAAGCACTTCGCTAAGGAAAGGCACTGTTTGCTCTTGTTCAGTTCTAGGTTTTAACCAAGAACCCTGCACAAAGCAGGTGCTCAACAAACCACACTCAGAGACTGTTTTATAAGAGAATGAAGAATAACAAACCAAGACTCTGCAAAAGGGACACTACCAGAGAATTTAAGTGTCAAATTATCTGGTTCAAAACTATTGTGAATTCTACAATTGATCAAAAGTTCCCCCTTTTTTTCTAGCAATGGCAGGATTTTTATCTAACAGAAGCTTATAGAGGAGATCACCGATACAAAGAAGAGAAGAAAATGCTGTTTTTCTGGCCGAATGAGAAGGAGTTCTGGGGTCCAGCCAGCTCAGACTCACCAATACCAACCCCTGGAGCAGCACTATGGAACCCTAACTTTAAAACCACGAGTCTCGATCATGCCTCAAAGAAATTTTAAACATGTAAAAGATCTGTGCCCAATGAACCTTAGAGAAAATCCACCTCACTTAACTCAGAGTCATACTGACAGTAAGACTTGCCTTTGGTTTATTTATATTGTGCTGAGACACTGACCTTGTCCTGCTCAAGCTTCCACATTTTGATGAAACCATCGCTCGATGCTGTAACAAGAACGTGATGCTCTGGAGTTTCAAAACTGAACATGTCTTTTACCCTAGGACAGAAACAGTGACACCGTAAAAGAGCCTTTCCTAAAGACAGTACGATGCTGCTAGAAAACTTCTAGGTACATAGTCTCTTGACTTTTCAAGGCTTAAGGTGTTTCCAAACTGCTCAACGAACAGTGCCAAAAATTAAACATGCTTCACAATCCCATGAGTTGTTCTGAGTCATTTTCAGGGTCTAAATTCCAAGATAGAATTGACGATCAACCATACCTTAAGAAGGACTTGAAAAGATGATAGACAACTATAAATAGATTATCAGGAATAAAAGGAATTATCAGGAATTAAAGGAAGTAAAGATATTTAAACCCCCTCCACCTCAGGAAACTATATTGAAAGACAGAGGTGACCAAGGCCTCTTCCCCTTGTTCTCAGGGCCTACCACCCATCTGAGCTGCTATCATCTTCTTTCCGGATTACGGAGTAAACTAACTGGCCTCTCGACTTCCATTTTTGCCCTCTAACAACTTTTTAAAAAATCAAACCATGTTATTCCCAGGCTTAAAATTCTACAAAGGTAGGTTCGGTTTCAATACACCACAAGAGGGAGAAAGTGGCTGGGACATAGATAACCCAACACCTACAAAGGCACTTGGTACAAAACTCAAACTCCTTCCCATAACATGCCAGGGCCAGCCCCATTTGGCTCCCTCTGACCCAGTGAGGGTCTTCTATCTGCTCCTAAAATACACCAAGCTCTTTTCTCCCTCAGGGCCACTGTGCCTACAATTCTCTCCCTTTTAAAAATAGTTCCTTTATCCCGAAGGTCTCATTCCTCCTTCCCCGATCATCCCATCCAAATAAGGTACCTGTGTCATTCCCAAATCGTAATACCTATTTTCTTCCTGTTAAGATTACCTGAGTTCTTATTTATTCTGTTTGTTGCCCTGAGATAAGATAACAGCCAGGAGAGTACAAGCTCCTGCTGCAGTTTTTCA